AACTTTTATAGCACCACATGGCAGTGGGCTGAACTAACCAGTTCTTTCAAATGTGCTGAAAGTTTAAAGTCTTAAATCGCACCATGTGCAGTGCATAAACGGACACTTTTTTCCTTGCCTTAAAAAGTCTATTTTAAAAACTTCGGTCGCTTTTTTTTTACGAATAGCAAACTTCCATATTTTCAGGAAAGCGCTATTACAAGAAATTGGTTTTTTTTAATCTATCAAACCACATAATTTCAAAATCCCAATGTCACTGCACACTCACAAATGTCAATCTTACAGTCTGAAGGTAAGTTTTCTACGATTTGTGAAAACACAGACAAAGCTACTGTGGATGTGCTCTCTAGCAAACGAACCCGCTAAAAACTACTTATAAATCGCATTTTTAAAAATCCCGACAGCACACTTCTCTCTCCCCCCCCCCCTTTCGTTCCCGACAGCGATCAAGAGAGGAGGGCAATCCTATAACCACTCCAGTGCCTCAAAGGAGAACCCCACTCCCTTAACCTTCATGCCTCCCCACGCCTTTTCCTTGAAACGTTCGCATCTTTGGGATTTCCCTCCAAGTCTTTTTCACATATATGCACGCAAGCATAGAGAGAGAGAGAGAGTCGAACTCCTCCAGACATTTTTCTTTCCCTCGTCGAGAAAAGAGGAAGGAGGAAGAGCCCGGAAAGGAAAGGAGAAAAGAAAAGCGCCTGTCTCTGTTCACGCGACCAGGTAGTTCGCCCAGAACGTGGCCTGCATATTTCTCAGGCCGAAATCGGCGACTCCCCCAGGGGCGGGGGGAAAGAACGCGAGCCTCCCCCGCCAGTTCCGGGGTTTGGCGGTGTGGCTTCCTCTCCCTCCCTCAGCCGTCCCTGCGGACTCCATGCTCCCGCGGCGGCCTCTCACCTGCTTGCTCCTTGGGTAAGGCTTCGAGGAGGCCGCTGCCAGATGGTACCGCCGCGTCCGGATCTTCCCGCCACCGCCGCCGCCGCCGCCGCTGCTTTCCCCAGAATCCATGCTGGGACCTCTCCAAGCCTCCTTCCCACCCTTCGGGCGCGCGGAGCAAACAGAGGCCCGGCCGGCCCGGCCCGGCCCGGCCTGACCCGGCCCCCCGCGCGCGCGCTCCCCTCACGCTTCTCTTTTCCCCCTCCCCGCTCACTCTTGACCCCAATCCCGTTCTGTGCTGTCACTGTCTCTATGGCGATGTCCTGCGCAGCCTGCCTCGCGCCCTCACAAGGATGTCCCTCTATCGCGCTCTCTCGCTCACCCCCCTGCCGGCTGGCGCGCGCGCGCCGATTCCGTCTCTACCGCTCCTCTTCCCCCTCCCTCTTCCCCCGTCACCGTCTGGCCCGCTAGAGATTCCCCCTCCCTCCTTCCTCTCCTCCCGACCAACCAGAGGACACACGCCCGTGCTGAATTGCGTCACCAAGCCGCGACCCGTCATTGTGCATCACTCTAGTCAGTACGCAATGATCCAAAGCTCTCATGGGAAATGTAGTTTTGGAGAGGAAGCCTGCGGAGGAGTACGGATATTCCCTCGCCTTCCCCAATAATTGCTACTGACGCATTGAAGTGCTACAGGATCTCGCGATAAATGCCGTAGCGGAGGATGGCGCTCTATTGAAAGCGAAGCGTTTTCTTGTTTTATAATTATTATAGAAGGGATTTTTTTTTAACAAGCCAAACAACTGCTGCTTGTAAAGTTAGACGGATTGCTGATCCTTTTTAACCCCAACTGTGCAACGCTTTTAGAGTCGCTTGCTTTACTGTTTTGCTTGCCACAGAAGTCCAAACTGAAGACTTTTTACCTTGGCATAATGCCCACGAGGCAGTAGAATAACCTGCTTACCGTCAGCCTTGCTGTATAAGAGTAAAGTAAAAAGTAATTTAAATAACTTTACCATAGGACTCAAAGTTGGTTTCTATAAAAGCCACCAAGTTTAACTTAATTTAATGAAAGAATCGAGTTTATTTAATTTCGGTTACATTGTGCCTTTCCCTGTCGCATATTAAATAATTTCAAAATTTGGAATATTTACTAGCAAAATCGTTAGACCCAGAATTTAAGCAAAATTCTTGCACCAAATAAGCATATGAGAAGTTATACATCTGGGAGACTAAATACAACTTAAACCAATAGAATTCACAGCTAGAAGAATGATAAAATAACTTATGGCATTCAGTATATTACTTAATGCTTTAAAGGAAGCCACAGCCTTATGTACAAGAGCTGCACAGAGCTGTCAAGTACAGGACATTTTGGGCAGTGTTCATTCACAGGATAGTCATAAATCAGAGATGACTTGACATTCCATAACAGCATAAAGGCTAAACATATTGCCTATTAGGACTACAATTATACACATTTACATGGGAATAAGCCCCATTAAACTCACTGGAACTTTTGAGTCAACATTTATAGGCATGCAGTGTAACTAATGTAGAGAGGCCAATTCTATGCAAGCTTTTCAGAGTTAAGTTCACCAAGATATGTACTCCCAAGCTAACTCACAGTTGCAATTTTAGTATCAGGTAAAGCAAAAGAACTTTTCATTTTACACCTAAAGATAGAATTGAGATTGTTCTAATAAGTACGTATTTTATATAACTTAACAATGAATTGCACTGACCACTGATAGTCTATCACCTGTTTTGTTTCAGTCACTTGGTTCATGTACCCCTCACACTTAAGAAAGCATTAATACTGTTTTGTGAATGAAGATGGAAGAGCTGTGTGAAGTATTTACACAAATAGCAAAAAAGGCACATTCTAACTTCCTGAATAATTTGCTCAAATAACTTGAGAATAATGGAGAGCACCAGCAGTCCCTTTTTAGTGGTTCTCTCCCCCCCCCCCACCGCCAATTATGGAATTTATACCAAGTTCCATTGTTATTTTTTTCTTCAGACAAAGTATAAATGCTACCAGGGAACTTTTAAGTGGAAGTGGAAGCTCAGTATGCTTTTGTCATTGGATTTTTTTGGACTACCTTGTTTTAAAGTTTGTTAACATCATGCTTCAGAACAGTTGTTAATTAACAAGTAAGCCATCTAAGAATAGTCATTAATGCTCTTATTTACACAGAAGCCAATCCCAAGAATTAGATACACATGTGAAGTGTGTATGCATTAGTCTAGTACTAGTCCCCCTCTCTCTGTTCAACACATAGTTCCTATCTGTAACCATGCAGCAGTTTTCAGATATGTCGTGCCACCACTGTAAAGGATGTAGTGTGTCCAAATCCCCAAATTCAGATTACAGAATTACAGCCTACTTTCATATATATGAGTTGAGGACAAAGATTTTAGGGAATTGGGTGTTTGATACACTGATAAACAGATCAATATTTATAGATGGAGGTGCTGTCGGTGGGCAGATTCTGTGTCCAGCTGGGAAATGCTCAATTTGTCGTGAATGGGATCACACTCCCACTAAAGAACAGCCTGAGGTGCTCCTAGATCCTGAATTTTCACTAGTCACAAGTGGACTTACTGACTAGGAGCATCCTACATCAGTTTGGGCTGATTTACCAACTACATCCCTATCTGGGACAGCCAGAGCCTAGCAACAGTGATCCATGCTCTAGTAACCACTCACTTGGACTATTGTAACACTCTATGTGGGGCTGATTTTGAAAATGGTGGGGAGACTTCAATTGGTTCAAAATAGAGCAGGAAGGCAAAATGTAACAGGGACTGGCCAACATAAACACATTCCACTAGTCCTCTATCAATTATACTAGTTACAGATTTAAGTCCAGGCCAGATTCAAAATGCTAACATTCACATTTAAAGCCGTAAATGGTTTGGGGCCTGGTTATCTGAAGGAACGCCTCTTTCCATATGTGCCTACCCAAACCTGAGATCAGCAGAGGTCCTTCTCAGACAGCACTCTCCAAAGGAAGCAAGGAGGGGGGCTACTAAGTGAAGGACCTTCTCAGTTGTGACACCCCATTTGTGAAATCATGTCTCCAAGGAGGTGCACCTGGCACCCACTTTTTTCCTTTCAGCACCAGGTGAAAACCTTTTTATTCTTCCAATATTTAACAGATTTTAATTCCCCTTTTATATTTTTACTGATTGAGCTGTGGTAGCTGTAATATTGTATTATATTGTATTTTATGGTGATTTTATAATGATGGTTTTATATTATTGCGAACCACTCAGGGATATTTGATTCTGTGAACAACCCAGGGAACCTTTGATAGCTGGTGTAAAAATATAATAAGTATGGATCCAAGCAGAGTATTCCTTAGCTTTTTCACAGAGTATAAGCAAAACTACTCCATGCAGATCTCAAATTCTACTTGTGGTCAGAACATAAGTAATCATACACATAGTTCCATCAATAAGTATGCAACATTTAGCTGTACAAGTGCAACTGTAGTAGTGTGGTATTATAATTTGTGATGTTGTAGCTATCAGCGCATGCTAGCATCACTGCCATAACCAGTGTCAAACCCTGATCCACAGAGAAGTGCAACTACAGATCCTCATACTCCACTCAAGAAATGCCTTTTCATGCTATAATCAGAGGAAAATTAGGCATCACATACTCAAACAATTAAATTTCCATTTTGAAAGCTGGTCCAGTCTCTAATTTATTGTAAGCCACCTAGGAAGGCTTTGGCAGTTATAGGCAGCCTATAAATACATGTATAAATAAATATTCAGTTGCAGGATGGGTAGACAATACTTAATCCCAATTATCTCCTTTGTATACTGCTCAATGGAATCAAGCTGCCTAGCACTGGAAATGGTACTAGTCAGAACTTTGATTTTTTCTCACAATTAATTTCTTATGCATTTATGACTTGAGGCTACATCTTCATGTAAGCTACCCAATTCTGCCAACTTGCTGGGTAAGAACAGAAGTCTATCTAGCCCAGTAATCTCCCCCGTGTTAATCAGCCAGATAAGAGAACCCCATCTGCAATAGTCCCCACTTCAGATTTTTGAAAGCTAGGAGGTCATAGTCTAGTGTTAAAGGATAGGGTCCAACTGACATGTTTGCAGAAACAAAGTTTTATTATTTACATAGTCAAGTCTATCTTTAGACTAACCCTTTACATTTCTAGAATATTTACATGATTTCAAGATACTGAGTGATGAACAAAAATTACAAAGGCCATCAAAGCATAGCAAAAAAATCCAACACTGCTTTAAAACTTGGGATCTAAAATAATGTAGAAGAAATGTCAATTTAGCACCTTGGTCATAATAGTCATGCTATGGTGTTAACATAAGACACTTTTAGAAAGCAGTAGGGATCTCGGAAGTGACTGTATCCAAAGGTTGCCAATGACAGCTCATAAGTGTGTCAAAGAGTTCTTCACTTCTCACCATAAATTCTCTGTTCATTCTGTGAACATCTATGTTGAGCTGTGGATCTGTTTAAGTAAACAAAAAGTCAATGAGCCAATAATAAAACAATTGGTACAAACAGGAAATCTTTCAAGGTAAAGCAGTATTAACTAAAATCAGTACATAAAGTTGGTTTGGAAACTGCAGAGAATTTAAGAGTAGAAAAGACACCTCACTGAAATTACTCCTTCCCTGAATACATTCTTACAAAAAAAAACAAACAATTTTCAGGATCTTCAGAAGATTCTTCTAATTGTTCATGCAATTCAAACTATCATATCTGCTGGAAAATGGATAAAGGCTTTTCTTGATATTGGACACAATTCACAGATGATCTTTTCAAGTGGCTTGCACATGTTCCCAGATAACTAAAATCTCCTAACCACTTTGTAATTCGTCACTATCTCAAAAATTGCCTTGAACTATACAGGATTGCTGTTTAAAAAAGGAAAAAAAGGAAAGGGAAAAAGACCCCCCCACACACTAGCCTATAGGGTGTGCTGTATAACATTAAATGGGTCGTTTGACATAGGTCACTGTGACCTATACGAGTAATGCTATAACAAGCATCACAACAAACAAACATGCTATGTTTGCCATGCACCCTATGCTAGATATGGAATTAAGAAAATATTCTGCATGGCCTCAATTTATTTGTTAACATGCCTAAATTCATTTCATTTCCAAATCAGGCTGAAATTGTATGGGCTTAGGTATAAGCTCCACTGAAGACAGGAGGACTTATTTCTAAAAAACTACACAGGAATGCAATTTTTTTTTCAAAAAGTCCACTATTTTTTTGAGAAGTGCCCTCAATAAAACCAGATCAATTCCCACTTTGCAATGTTATTAATATCAAAATTACCTTCTGTTATTAGATCATCATTTATAACCATAGCAGAAGTCTCCTGTAAAAAACAAACATGCATCATTTCTCTAAAACTGTTCCCTATCTATGAATTTTAGAAGTGGAAGAGTTAAAACATAAACAGTATAAGTGTAACCTGATCCCCAGTCTGCCCAGCCCCACTGCACACACTTTTAAAAGGAAATCATAGAAAGGGCTAGTTCACATGTAACCATAAATGACTTTGGCACTATGTATAAAAGGCAGAATGAGTCCAATGAATCCCTAAACTTCCTCTTCTCCTTCTGTCATACAGCTAGAAGAAGGATTTCACTAGCTTTAGTTCCACTTTCAACTAATCCTGGCTTGTGACTACTTGTAAACCAGGATACTGTGGTCTACAAACTATGGTCAGTTCCGGAACAAGGCAGCTTCAAAACAGGAGTAATGAAGCTGACTATTTAACTAATCTGTTGGCTTTAAACCACAATCTCTGGATTATAAATAATAACAGCTAGGATTAATGGACAAACAGTAGTAAAGTCCTTCACATAGTCAGATGGGAAGAGAGGGAAGGAGGGAAATCACTCAAATCCAAACTTTGCCCAGGCTCATTCCATGAAATGCTAAAAAATGGCTTAGCCTTTTATGTTACATGTGAACCAGGCCACTGCGATTTAATACACCTGAGCAGAGTTTGAGTAGCTCACTGCAAGGATGACAAAAGCACAAAAAGGTTTACATAAACATTAACAGAATTGTAACATGTTAAATACTACTTAATAAATTTACTGCAATAGGTTAAATAATTAAGTTCAAAGAACATGATTCTAACTATAACCTGTTATACTCACTCCTACGTAAGTAAACTGACCAAAACAACTAAGCACCAGAGAAAAGACTTGTGTTCCCCCACAGCTATTAGTGGTCATGACTGGGACCACTGAGAGATGAAGAAGGTATTAATCTCCTCTAGTAACCCAAACTTGTCCATCCCCATCTATTAGATACAGCCATCAATGAGTGTACCCAGGCATGCACATTCAACCCCACAGTCAACACCAGATGTAGCCGAAAAAGATTAAACACCTCTGCTCTATCAAAATGCCATCTTTGGTACAAAAAAAATGCAAAAAAAGAGAGCCATCTTTGGGCTTATGTTTATTCACATGAATACCTGAAATACAGCTGGATTCAGAGTTTGTTGTCCCATATTTCCAGTTGGTTGCATCCTTTCATAGGATGCATAACTGTAGTTGTAGTCACTATAATCAGCATTATAATCTCCATATTCAGGATAATCTCCATATTCAGGGTAGTCACCATAGCGTTCACCAAAACGAGAACCAACACGATCGGCATAACGTTCAGGGAAACGGTCACCAAAGTGCTCAGGATAGCGGTCAGGAAAACGCTCACCAAAACGGCTGCCTCGTTCAAAACGGTCAAAGCGTTCAAAACGATCAATGCGTTCATTTCTATCATAATTATACTGACGGTAATAATTCTGATAGTCTTGGTAATAGTCATTATAACTATAAGGCTGGTACCTCTGAAATTCTGCTTTCAATCTAAAAAGCAAGTAGAAAAGCTTATCTTAGAATTTCCCAAAAACAGAAAATAAAACTAAGCAGAAATAAAGCTAAGCAGGGTCTGCCATTTCAGTCTAAGCCACTGAAAATCCAAATTTCTTAGAAAAAGCAGTCTTAGGTAAAGTTACTTTCATTTTAGATGGCAAAACTCACCTGGTTGTCTTTGCTTAACATATATGCAGCAGAACCATTATAATATGCAGCTCATTTAATATACTGCATAATGAACAATATTAAACATTTTCCCCATCATACATTATTTGTTTTTGTAAGAATCTTAAATAGAGTAGATACATTACATCTAGGAAACAAAAAGCCCATTTTGTATATAGTTAGAAAGCTTGCTTCTTAAGACTGTTCAGGATTGGTCACTCTGCTATCTTAAAAACAGAAACGGTACAGCTTGAAAAGTGGTTACATCTAGACATACACATGAGTAGAACAAATACTGTGATTATTCTCCCAGAAGAAAAAAAGCAGAGCAAAACAAAGACATTAATATAGATTTAAGTACACTCATCCTTTATTATTCACTTTTACATTCTAAAAGTGGCAAAAGAACACCTAATAACAAACTGTTAAGAACAAATAATTGTTTGTGGGTACAAATGGCATGTAGAAACCTTCCAAAGAAAGTATATGTAATTATTTTCTTTGATATAGCTGAAGCTTTGAAAGCATATCAACATTATCATCAACATTGCTCCTTTTAAAAGGAACAAGCTTAGCATGGGCTATTAAAGAGTTATGTGCTACCAATTTTATTATAAGACAGACAAAAATAGATTCACATGAATTATGCAGAATAGTGAAAAATTCTAGACTTGGTCCCAGAGTAATTGGATAGAAATGATACCTCTGCAAAAGCCTTTATAGGTAATTTACCCTCCATTACCTTTTTGAAATTCCTAAAGTCAATCGGATTCGTTTTCCACCTAGACCAGGTGCATTCTGGCAATCTTGCAATGCTCTCATCATATCACCTTCATCAGAAAATCTGACAAAGCCATATCCCCTAGACAATTTTAAAATATGTGTTTTAGAAATGCTGGCATTTCCAATTTATTCAAGTATTCAAAAACTATCCAATTTATTCAAATATTCGTTGTGGTTCAGCGGATTCACAAATTATTTCCTTTGACATTTTAATTAACTTTCAGAACAATTTCTCTTCAAGTAAGTTGAAAAAACCGTATGTTCTATAGAATGAATTTTGAAATAAACAGTAGTCTATTTTATTTCAAACCCTAAACTGGAATAACATCACCTCTAAACAATCATATGTTCATACTGTATCAGCACAAGACACTATGCTCTAATATAGGTTGCACAATCATAAATTAGTGACATACAATCGAAATTGTATCAGGGTTCTCAAACAATTAGCCATGCCTATATGTAGACACCTAAGCTCGAACTTTCCAAACTCCACACTTCAGGGGTCAAGCAATGAGACTTCCTTGTCCTCATAGGTTCCTCTTGAGGATCTACTAATCATCCAGGGAAGGCTAGGCAGCAAGGAGGGTGCATCAAAAGAAGGAAGTATCACTTCTACTTCCCTTCCACTGACAGCTTTGGATTCAACTCTGTGTCATAATTTGTTCATGAGGCTGAATCTTACAATCCTCCTTTCCATCCATTTACCTAAAAACTCCCTCATTTTATCAACCAACAATACTATGGACAAACAAGTATTTCCTTTCTGCAGAGTTTCATTTTTCTTTCCCTGCCTCCCTCTCTATACCTACCATGGACTGATTTTGTCTCACTGCCTTCTTTACTATCCAGCTGCCAGGTTCACACTATTTTTTAAATTATAAACAAGACTTCATCCACAAAAGATCTCAATAAAGAAAATAATAAAAAGTCAAATATAATATGAAACAAATGGACATTGCTAGTTCAATTACTTTTGTTTTCAACCTTAACTTTAAAAGACTCAGAACAGTTTTTCATGTATGGAGAGTCACCATGAAACAAACTAAGAACCTCAGCTACATATTGCTTCTAACCAACAATATTTTAATTTGTGATGGATTACCTGGAATATCCCAGCAGATCGGTGGCCACTTTACAGTCTACACATGATGGATACCTTTTGAAAAAGTAGTCATACAGCAAGAAATCATCCACCTCAGGTGTTATCTCTCCTACAAATATTGCAAATTCTGGCCTGGTAAATTCTGCTCTAACAAATTCTTGCCTGGGAAATTCTGGCCTAGAAGAAATAGAATGAAATTATCACCAAAATTTTTGCAGTATAAGCCTCAGGACCCTGTATCCACTAGGTCACTTTCCATAGCAAACAAACACATACCTACCTAAGATTGTTCCAGCCAATACTTGTCCTTGCGCATGGTGCATTCATTGGCACCATATACAGAGGAATGCAAAGTCTGGTCATGTTTGATCAACACTCCTCAAACAGCTTTATCTGAAAATCTACTTCAGACTAAATTGTATGAGGACTGGTACCTCACAAAAAACTACCACTACAAAGTAATCAAGATGTAAATGTTTAATATTAAAAACATTTAGTCCTAAAGGCAGTTAATTGGCCAAAGCTAATTTAATCACTAGATTAGGTAATATGTGGATATTGTCTTGTATGCTTTCCACGTGAATCAAGACAGCTGTTCTCAAAGCACTTATGAAAGTGTGGAGCAATTGTTAAGAGTGCAGGACCAGAATTCAGGAGATCCAAGTTCTAGTCTTCACTCAGCCATGGAGCTGTGTGACTTTGGGCCAGTCACACACTCAGCCCAACCTACTTCACATGGTTATAGTTGTGAGAGTAAGATTGAGGAGAGGACAATTATGTAAATTGCCTTAAGTTCTTTGAAAGGAAAAATGGTGGGATATACATTTAATAAACAAACTGTTTACTAGTATCTACAATGTTCCTTGTGTTCACAATATCATACAAAATGTCTTATTACAGCTGTTATTTCATTATCACCAAAATCATGAACCTAAAAAGACTATTTGGGTGTAGTAGTTATATTGTCTTACCAAAATCAGAGGTACATGCTTAATCCGATTCAGAAAAAGAACTAAAATTTAAGAATTTTTCTGCAGTTCAGATTAGCTATTTACTCTAGCTAAACAACTTGTTGTTATTGCTTTCTTTGATAAAGTGTACCCCAAATTGTTTGGAAGCTTCTACTCTGCAAGCACCTTTGGTATGATACACCTTAGTCATTCTATGTTTGCACCACACTGAGTTAAATGCTTATAGGATTTATATGTAGGATAACCTATGTAGGCATCAAGAGCCTAAACTTACTACTTTTCCAACCTATACATCTATCTTTATACTCCCATTTTAGACTTTTTGTTCAATAAAAGCAGGCAAGTCAGGGAGATCAAGCTCAAACATTACAGACAATTCTCCAAAATATGGTCAAGTATTACTGTTGCTCTGAGGAAGGGGGGCACAGCAGCCCTGTGGCCCAGCGACTATCACCACCAGAGAAAGCAATATATTTAATGCACAGATCCTGTACACAAATTCCATTGGTCAAAAGCTCAATACCAATAAAGTTTTGAGTAGTTCTATGAATAAATTCAAGTGGTTAACTAAATTTGGAGAAAATCTCAAAATCAATTTGGATTTAATTACTACATTGCTTTTTATTACGTGGCATGATTAAAATTCATGTGGAATTTATGAGTGTGAATGATGCTGTTCAATATCCTGCTACAAACTTGATTCCCAATTCAGATTCCAATTGCAATGCTAATACTTTGTAGTGCCAAGATAAGGTTCTTGGCTTTCTAGCCAATGGTATGACTGCTGTGGATTTTCGGCATGCATAATACATGCTGAATAATAGTACCAAATATGGCAAAAACCTTAAAGTATTAAAATTTAAAAGGACCCAACACACTAGGGACATCTTGAGTGATAATAAGAAGGCATATTGAAAAACCTTGAGAAGCAGTAATCGACCCAACAAGGCAGAATGTTCTTGTATATTCTGCATATCTACCAGTAGATACCGCAGCCTTCATGTTGAATAGTATTTTCCAGACAGTCCAGGAACAATTGCCTATTGAAGCCATTTGACTTATTTCATTCCAGATGATTTCAATAGAAGTTCACATCCACAGAGCCTCTGAAAATTACTGAATATATTTAACAGCTCTATTAAATTGACTTGTTTATTTTGCTATGTGATAAACATTTTTCCATCCACAAAGATTTACAGAAAAATCTGAAAACAACCTAATATATTGGTTTTTATTAATGTCTTGCTAATTGATTTAGATACTATTATAGGACAAGAGCCAGCTCTTTTCTTGTCAGTTCAAGGTTTCTTCACCTGCTTGGAATACTAGTAAAATCTGGTCTTCCTGCTCTTGCTTTACTCTTTTTCTTCCGTTTTTTGTGGGGGGATCTCCACCACAGAGGCAGGCTTTCTTTTTTGGCCTTTCCCACTGTATCCTGCTAGAATGAAAAACAGTTATACAGTATTTCATCTCAATTAAATGCCTCCCTCCCTCTCCCGATCACCACCTCGGTGATTTCCCCATATTCACCTTTCCCTTGACAGAAGCCTGGGGTCCCATCTCTCCCTCCGCCTCCCATGAGGGAAAGCAGCCTCTGGGGAAAATGCCTGGCAAAAATAACAGAGCCAAAGGATTGTATGAAAAGCCATATTCCTCTGACTTGGTCAAGCTGGCTATAGGGGTGACTGCTTTTCACGCCAAGATTTTGACTCCCTCGGTTTCCTTCATTTTGAAAAAAAAGTTAACTGTTAAGAGGCTGAACAAGCATGTAGTGTAAGATTTGGTGTTACAGCAGGACCCTGCTTAAGATTTCTCAGAGACACACTCAGAGAAACTATGGCAGAATTAAATCCTGTGAATGAGATGCAGAGCCAGGTCACTATCTTTTAAACATAAAGGGGGATGTGGACTCTTTTCAAAGACAGCGTTCTACCCTGCCAGGTGTTGAATACTACTATCTCAGGGAAACTATCTGGGGCAGACCGAAGTTAGGGCAAAACCGAGGAAAGTTCTGCCCAGTTTTCACACCAGCAGCATGCATGTGACAAAAAAGCCACAATGAAAAAAGGAAGCAGAGGCAATTTATATGGGAAGGAAAAGGGAAGGAGGCAGTAGCCAAGGTAACAAAGACAGTATCAATCACCTTAGCAATACAGTTTCAACATTTTCGTTAAGACTTACTTACATGGATGGTATCATTTCACTTCTAGTGCTCCAATGAAGTTATCCTAAATAGTGAGTGTTACAGGAAAGTCCCACCACAAAAACTCACTGCACAACAGTGTAGAAAGTGAGGTTTCATGTTCTGCCCCCAAGCTGCTTCAGTTGATATAATTAAGAATTCCACAGCAGGGGAGAACAATCTGTCAGAAATATATCTGAGGAAAGCATAGGGCTAAAACCCACCACCACTCTCACCCAGAAATACTTGGCTTAAGCTTGACATTTGCCAACAGCTCTGGGCAGGAATGTGTCTTCCCCTTAGGATTTATGAATGTGGCTTCATTCTCAACAAACAATCTTACCTGGCTAGCCATGGCTAAAAACTATCTTCACAAGAAAAGGAAATCCACAGTTGTTCTTTCTGAACTCTGTTTTAAAAGAAAGAATAAACACCTCATTGCAGTACTGTTGTGATTTTACTGTGCACATCAACAGAAAACAATGGAGATACCTATGCAAAAATCACAGTTCAGTACATCTGGCTATTGTATCTCGTTATGTATTATTACATCAAAAACTACATACTAATGCCCCAAAATGTTACATTAATTTGGAACCGTGGATTTTTCTGCTGCATTCACTGAAGTTAACACAAAAATATTCCACTTATAAAAATGCATTATTACAATACCAGACAAATTGGCTGGTTTTGAAGAAGAGACTGTCCATGGGAAGATGGGTATGGAAAAGAGAAAATTATGTATATATAAACTGCTCTGTTCATGAGGCACAATAAAAATAATATACCAGTTCTTCCAGTGCCTCAACTTCTATTTTTTTAAAAAATGTACGGGAACTCTAGGCTATAAAGTACTCATACTCAATAATTTACAAGTATTCCAAAAATAATAGTACTTATTAAGTAAGCCTTGATTTTGTTTCAATACAAATGCTTTCATCAATATTAAGTGTACTTCCTGCAACAATTTGACTATGGGAAAAACCTGTTTTTACAGCCAATAGTTAATTTGATATTCTCTTCCAAATTAGGCTAAACATATTATATCACACCCCAAATTATTTAAGGCAGAGATGCAGAACCTCCAGCAGTTCCCCATCCAGTCCAAGGTCACATCTGGCTCCCTTCCCAAGCCACCAACCCTAGAGGCTGAAAGGAAACCTGGTTTTCATCTCCAATCAGTGACCAGAGATAACAAGGATTACCCCCGTTCACTGTTTCTCCTCAGAATTAGAAGATGAGCAGGGCATGAAGAGAATCCCAGCTGCTATCTCTAATCAACAATTAGAGGTAGCAGTGGACATTCCCATTCCCACTAAAAAAGCAGTTTTCTATGAAGGCAGAAACAGGAGCCTTCATACAGAAACTCTGCTATGATGTCAAAGGGTGGGGTCTGGGGGGAAGTTCTGCCCCCTGACATCATCTGGCTCCTGGGACTGAGTCAGAGAAGAATCTATCCTCAGGGCTAAAGAGTTCCTCAATCCTGATTTAAGGTATCAGAAAATGTTTGGATGCAAACTTAGTCAGAAAACTGAAGGATTGGGTGCATTACAACTGTTTGTAACAGAAGCTTGCCAGCTGTGATAGTTCCTGGCATGGTGACATCAGGTTACATGAAAAATTAGTTTGTTGACCCATTTTTCTGTTCTTTTTTAATCCAATTGTCAAGTAGGAAATGCCAGTAAGCAATTATTCTGCATAATTTTATAGTTTCCTGTTATACTAATAAAATGGCATACCAGTCTTTCTGCACAGCACTTTTCTTAAACCTAATTATTTATTCTTGTTAGCTTTCTTTCTATTTTCTACATGCAACTATGCAATTTTGGTAGTATTTGATATGGAGCAGAACTGTTGCACCAGTACCTCACAACTCTCATCAGATGTTCCCAATTTGATACCTCGGGATGCTTTGGACTACAACACCCATCATTTTGAACTGGTGGCCAAGTCTCATCAGCCTGTTAGCATGAAGTCCTCAACATCTGGAAAACCAGTTCACCCACTGGGAAACTGCGATTTATGTCATAATAGTGCAGTTAATGCAGCCATTGCCACTGTGACAAGACTAGCTACAATCAGCAGATACTCCACTATGCAAAATTGTAATGCACCATCCCAAAAATATTTTGGACAACAGTCCATGCAGAGTGGAGAAAAGAATGTGTCCAATGTACAACAGGAAACATTACTGCTATTGGAACTTCAATGGACCCAAGCAGAAAAACTTACCCATCTAGTCACACAGGATAATACAGTAATGGCAGTGCAAACTACCCCACACAATATTGCACCTGCTTATAACTTTAGGACTGAAATGTTCATCTACCATGAATCAATGCACTGAATCTTTACTTTAAAAACACTTTTTAGAATTTTAGAGCAGCTGTTCTGGCTCTCACAAAAGCCCCAACTACAGCATCCAGTTTCCCAAAAGGACAAACTAGATGCCACCAAGAAGTCTGCAAACAGAACAAAAAAGTCCTCCCAATTTTTGCTGGTCAGCTGCATATTGCTTCTGGGCATAATGGTTCTGCATAGCTATCCTAGCTATTGGCCATTAATAGACTTATCCTCTGTAAATTTGCCTAATATCTATTTAAAGTCATTTAAATTGGTGGCCATCATCACATTACCCATATATTAATTATTGCACTTTATTTAGTAGAATTTTACAATGTCTCTGAGTAATATATGAAACAGAAAGCATAGCTTAAAATTTTATTTAAGTTTTATACATTATGACTTTCAGGTTGCTAAACATTTCAATGATAGATTAAGTAGAATGCTTCACAGAATTAACAGTTTACCAATAATTAAATCATACTTACAGCTTTTTAAATGTACCTTATTTCTAGCCCACCTTTTTGCCCTAAGCAGCACATAAAGCAGAGCATAATAAAAACACTGCAATTTATAAAATGCCAAATCATGAATCACTGAAACTGCATATGACTTCTTCAGCAAGGATGCAGCTAGTGAAAAATGACTAATCCCACCTGGGCATCCAGCAGAAAAGTCTAATCCAGGGACACTCCCAACCGAAAACCCACTGCTTGAGGAGGAGCACAGTCCTCCATGAGAAAATCAAGTAGCTACAAATATGCTAATATTTTTCTAAAATACATTGTATCTATTTAAACATTTCTGGATTTACCAAATTAATCTGTTGATGGGTTATAAATCTATATACAGGGCCAGCTCATATGAAATTGCTGCTCAAAACAAACCAAAGTGCCTTGATTAAGTTATATCATGTCCCGGGCACAAACTGAATAATTGCCATTTGGACAGAGTTTCTTTGGTTGCTCAGTCCCATACAGTATGGCTTGTTATAGGGTTAAACAACATTCAAATAACCCAACAACAGCTCTAACAAGCCATGCTGCCTGGTTTTAAACAGCAAAAGCAGCCACGCCTGGAGAATGAATTCAAATCATACCCAGCGCTCATGGAAGCTGAAACAGTTACTCTAACTTGAGGTGAGTGTCTGTGAAAATCAGGTCACAGTCTCCATAGCTACATTAAAAAAACATTAATTTGAACGTGTCAAATTACTTATCAAAAAGTGAATTAAAATAGAAAAATTGTGGTGACTGTTTCTATAATATACAATGCGTCATAAGATTAGGAACACTAATATGAGTATGCATTAATGAAGCTAATACATTGCTCCATTTACAGGGATGCTGCCATCAGATACATGATCATGTTATTCTACTAATTCCTCAGATTTAATAATTTCAATTTATTTTGCTTATTTAACTTACCAGTCAGCTTCTACTTTATAAACTTCCAAATAAAGAGAACTTTGATTCCAGAAGACAGTGAATACAAGAAAAAGTTGTGATCCAAGATATTCCTGGCTCCAATTTATCTAACCATTTACATCAAAGTACTTTCTTCCTCCTATATTGTTCAACAACGTTTTAGTTCACTACAATACAAACATATAGAAATAAGAATTAGGGACATATATTCATAGTTTAAGAACTCAAAAATAAATAAATTTAATAAAACGTACATTTACTCTTAAATAAAACTTAAATGGGGGGGCATTTGCAATTTGGTTGAAAGTCCTGTAGTTTCTTGTATGCTTAGTTTTATCCTTGAACAAATCCCTGTGAAATAAGCCATTTCTTTCAAAATGCTGTAGTCTTTCTTAAGACTACTGGACAAGCACATTTTTCAAATTCTGTTTAATAAATTACTATAATTTATACATTATTGAATTTATAATTTATTTATAATGAATTTATTACTTCAATCTTACCTTGCAAGATTGAAGGTGCAGAGAACACATCAATTAGAACTGCGCTCTAAAACCCCCTTAAATATATATGACTGTCTGATATCAGAATACTGATCTATTGAGCCTAACCAACAGTGAGTTTCCAAGATAACGGCAAGATTTTTTCCCTGCACTATTCTCTGAGATCCAACTGGAAATGCCAGAATCAGAATGAAATAGCATAGACCAACATATACCAGAGCAATTCAAATGAACTTTCCCAGTAGTACTTCACATATTTTCCAAAATTTGTGCAAATCTGACTGTTAAACTATGTTAGTTTATAACTAGAGTATAATGCACACAATTTTATATTACAGCCTGGTACTGCATCTCTTTGTTTCACTGCATAATAAACAAAAAATAAAACTGAAGAAACTGGTTATGTGGATTGTGTGCCTTTCTCAAAATGTAGTTCACATTTCTCATCAATAGGAGTGCACTCCCCAAGCTGGTGAATCCTATCTGGCTGGCCACAAGAAAATTCAGTTCCCAGTTCCTACCTTAGAAACTAAGATTGAGACTGGCACTCAATTTGGCACACCCTTCTTCACCTTTGCAACCAGTAGCTTTTTTCCATGCCAGTTGTGACTCCAAGATTGTAAGACCGATCTTGGAACTGACACAAGGGGAAGGGCATTCTGAGGTGAGACTACACCTTGATATAAGGTATCCCCATGGCACCTCACAACTTGTCCACTTTGCAAACCCTGCAAAAGACCAAGATAGCCAAAATTAGCCATTTCAGTCTTTTGCAGGAAAGGTGAAGTACAGAAGTAATCTCTGCCTCCACATTCCTTCTGCCCTTGGTAGAATATCTGCAATCCTTCAGGTCTGGATGGGTATGCGCATCCCCACTGGATTGCACCCTAGAAGTCTGAAATCTGCACATGGGTTATAAAACTTTCTAAGCATGTGGCTATAAAACAGCAGTAAAGCAAATCAGTAAAATAGAAAGCACTGTGTTAAATTTTTGAATTTGTAGATTTAAAGTCCAAAATGCGGTAGTTTACATTTTCTATAACAAATGCATTAAGAAAACTTACCTGACCATTTGAATATTTTTTAATGTTTAAAATTCTGCTCAGGAAAAGAAGCCTGTCTAATCAATAGCTTTAAAAGAAAACCTTTCTAGGCTTTGCCCATTTCAATTTTCAGACAAATGTTTTACCTAATCTAAAACTGTACGTATAGGCAAAAATGTGATTTTCTCAAACTTATTTACTGATTCTTGTCTTTCTTCCTCTCTTTAGGCAAGCCACTCATTGAAAGTTTCAATGCGTTAAACTATATTTTCCAAAGTTGGAGGCCCCAGATTCGCACCCAGTTGTAGTCATGTTTGTCGTTAAGCCCAGTTACGATTGCAGTCTTACACGTGGGTTACAAGGAAGTAAGCCCAGCTACATTAACTAAAGCTGTTCAATTGTTCTGTAGAGCTATATGTATATGCACACACATACATACCACCCGCAACATTTACAGCCAATCTTATACATGTTTAGAAGTTGCATCGAGTCCACTCGAACAGACGCTATAATGAGTGCGCCCAGGCTTAGTGCCTGAAGGTGCTTAAAAGCAAAGCAGCGGGGGAAGGGAAGGCTCCAGGGCGCGCTGCGGCCTCCATGACGGGGGTGGGACAAGAGAAGCTCCACGCGGAAGCGTTGCGAAAAGAAAGTGGAGCACACGGATGCAGCTTATTCTTAGGGTGAGAAGCGCAGGCAGGCCCCTCTCCTCACCTATCACCCCCAAACTCGCGGATACTAACGTCTCCGGCCTTCTTGAGCGTCGCCATAACGAGCCGTTCGGGTCTTCCAACGCTCCCTGCTGCCGCGCCTCCCCCTTCGCCTTCTCCTGTTAGGACTTCCGCCTCGGGCTGCCCCTGAGACTGCCTGTTGTTTTATCACAGGTCTTTCCCTCCCTCCCTCCCTCCTCCTCCTTTCCTTGCATGTGACAGGGACGTTCTCCAAGGAATCGGATATTGCAATAGGGAACGGCGGAGACGGGCGCTTGCCCAAATGTTCGTTCCGGCTTCTGTTCAGGCGCCGAAGTAGACACCCTCCACCAAGGAAGAGGGGGAGGGGTGCCCGCCACCAATTGGACAGAGAAGGACCCCCATCTCATTAGACGTAGCTGAAGCAGTAAAGAAATGGAGTTGTTAGGGGGATGCTACGAACAGATTCTATTCGGGTTCGCGGTGAGGCCTGGAGAGGTAAGGCAGAAAACAGGGCGCTGAGCGGTGGGGGGGGCACATGCCGGAGGGGAGGAAGTTCACGCGCTGTGCACTTACCACGAGGGCCTCTCGCGGCGTGAGCGACGCCTGCGTTGCGCGCGCGCGCGCTGCCAACGTGCGCAATAAAAAGGAAGCCTGTTACTGGTTAGCTTGAGTTGCTCACTCGTCTTACCCAGGAGCCTCCGCGGCGCCACCCCGCACACAGCCCCGCCCCATGGACTCTGCACGTTGCAGCGAGGAGTAGGCCGCAGGCGTTGCTATCCTGAGGAGGCCACGCGGTTCGCGCCTCGCAGGTGTCGCGCGGCCGAACGGGCCTTGGCTCGGATAATACGAAAAGGAGAAGAGCCTGCCCTGTTGTGCTGTCATAAAAGCCACGTCTCAGTTGAAAGCCCGATACCTTGAGAGGGCATGGTTCCTGTTAGGCTTCTGGTGCGCCCAGGGTTCAGAGGCCGTTGCTGGGGAGCTGTGAAACTTGTTAAAGGCTTACTAGAGGCGCTGGGTGGCCATCTGTCGGCACAGGATGCTGGACTACCTGGGCCTTTAGCCTGATCCAGCAGGGGGCTTCCTGTAACCTTACGTGTATTCATGTTTCTGAGCCAGTATGGTGTAGTGGTTAGGAGTGTGGGACTGGGACTCATTCGATCTGGGTTCTACTTCCCGCCAGTCATAGGGTCAACTGGATGATTTTGGGCCACTCACAGACTCTCAACCCAACCTACCTCACAGGGCTGTTGTGGGGATAAGACTGAGTGCATGAGGAAGAGAATGATGTAAGCCATTTTGAGTTCTTAAAAAAGAAAGTGGGATAGAAACCTAATAAAATAATAATTCCTGACCACTGAGTATTCTGGTTGGCTAACAGTTGTACTCCAAAGCATCTGAGAAGTGCCAGGTTGCCTATAGCTAACACAATGTACAGGCTGGCATTTCGTGTAGCACTGCAATGTAATGCATACAAATAGGCATAGCTTTTTGTAACAGTATTAATTGGAAGCTGAAGCAGATGGTACTGCCTGAACAGAAACAGACTGTAGGTGTAGTGCTATGCATGCAAAACAACGACTGAATTTTCTTTATTTTTCAGCTCATGGCCTTTCCTGGCTTTTTGTTAGCTATCTGAATAAAGGTAGATACCTTGTAATAACACTAACTTAAAATAGGTGAACACTCCACACATTTTATTTAATTTTTAAAAACTTATTTTAATCCATATTTATTTATGTTAACATAGTTTTAACAGTCTCAAGTTTAAAAGAGCATTCCATATTTGAAAATTCACTTTGAATGCTTTGGTAACATTCATGTTAAGCCAGATAATGACATACGAAAGTGCTTGATTAGCATTTAAATTTAGAATTTGTTTTCTATCCACCCATCACATTTATCAAATAAAATGTGTTACAATTTCTAATTATATTTGTAAATGCTGGACAAGATACAGTTTTAGGAGGCCAAGTGCAAACTAGTCATGATCATAATATTTTCAGATTTATATATGTGGACTTATCAGTCATCTCCTTCAACATGAACTCTCATTGGGGAAAAGCTGAGTAGGGAAGCTAATACAAGTACAATTGAATAGAATTCATTTTGTATACTGATTTTGGTAAGTTAATCTAAGTCCCACCTACAATTATAATGGTTAGTCATGATTAATCTCATTGCTTCCACAACAACTTGTACTGTCTTACTAGAACACGACTTCTGAAATTAAGTGTAGTTTGGTATTATTTTGTGTAAGTTTGTGTTTTAAAATGGGTCTCCATTGAAGTAATATCAGCAAAGTGTAAATCAGTTACTGTGATCTTTATAAGATTTTTTTCTTTCATGTTTAATCTTCAGAAATGGGAAGTTGTTCCTGATTTCACCCACCATGCCCACAGTGCTTCATTGTCAGCAATAGCGGTGAATGACAGAGATGTAGTCACTGGCAGCAGGGATGAAACTATACAAATTTATGATATGAAAAAAAAGACAGAACATGGGGCGCTGATGCAGCACAATGGTAAGGAGCTTACCCTCTTTATTTTATTTATAGCCTGTCTTTTTTCCTTCAAGGAACTCAAGGTAGCTTACATAATTCTCATTTATCAAACTGAAATAGATGTAATATTTTGCCTTATTCCAGAGGCTCCTTGCATATGTGGAAGCATCAATGAAAGCATGGTACATGAAGACTTCCCTGTTCATTTCAGTGATCAGCAGAATGGGGAAGCCAGCTCTGAGAGGAACTCAGTCTGCATGTATTGATCTGTATTACTTTTCATCCAAAATAACATACAGAAATAATAAACTGCATAAATTTCAATGGGCTTAAATTCCAAATAATTAGTCTTAGAACTGGGGAGTTTCTATACATCAAGGAATACACATAATTTTCCAAATACATTTTATCCTGCTTTGAGGGTAATGCCTAAATATTTCATTGCAAAGTTGCCATTTTGAAATATAGATGACAAATTATAATTCAAACTTATGTATTGCTTTATTTCTATAACCATCCAATAACTGATACAATAGATTATAATTTATTAAAAGGAATTGACCATGTTGATCTTCAGGCACCATAACCTGCTTGGAATTCTATGGAAGTACACATCTGTTGAGTGGTGCTGAGGATGGTTTTATGTGTATTTGGAACACAAAAAGATGGGAATGCTTGAAGTCCATTAAAGCACACAAGTAAGATTTTTTTTCTTTTAAGATTATTTTAGCTTGGGCCAAGGAGAACTCTGTTCACACAACAAAGCTTTCTTTTTCCTTCCATACCCCACCAAAAAGTGACTCAGAAGAATCAAGGAACCCTCCAGAGTAGTGTAATATTTTGTCCTGTGGTTGTTGGATGCTCATACATTGTAAAAGCTACATCTCATGCTATTCCTGAGGGTTCTCTGGCTTTGGATCTAAGCTTTTATATTAATTGGTTTATTTATTTGTTTTTGATGCTATTTCTGTGTTTTATAACCAAAAGTCATCTCAGTGAAATGCATAATTATTTTTAGTAGCAGTATAAACATTAAAATATCATTGCAATGCAGAACATACAAAGAAGGTAAAATAATAAAATCAAAAGCAAGTTTTAAAGTGAATAAACCCAAAGTCTGTTAAAGCCCCAGCAGGCCCCTGAAAACCCTCAGAAATTAAGATGTTTACTTAGTATCAAATGAGTACAGAGACTCCCTGTAGACACCATTGCGTGATCACATGTCTGTGAACTAGAAGGCTTTGTCCAGAGTAGCCATCTGCTGGATCTCACTTGGCAGAAACATTTGAATATGGGCCGCTGAGGTTTATGGTTTGAGTAGGTTAATATGGGATAAGCAAGTCCTACAGAAAAACTTGGTCCCAGGCCTTTTGGACCTTTAAAGATCACAACCAACACTTTAAATTTGGCCTAGAAATACACTAGTGCAGTTGATAGAGCACTGTGTTAGGAAGTGGCAAGTACCTTTTAACAACCCAGCAGTCCTACTTTGGACTAATGGTTTCATGATGTTTCAAAGGTAGTCCCAAGTTTAGTGTATTAAAACAAACTTAATTGTGGAAACCTGTAGCTGGGCTATATCTGTTGAGGTAGGATTGTAGTTAATTAGGCAGACAAAGCTGATAAAAGGTAATGTGAGCCACTCAGACTACCTGTCCCTGTGGTTATAGTGTTAGAGTACCTGAACAGGTGAGTTTCATCCTTTAGGAGAGTTCACCATCCTCCAGAGCAAATTGAATACCACTCATCACAGCTAATCATTGCTGTTAACTTTGACTTATGGCAAGTCTATGAATGAAAGTCCTAGAAAATGCCCTGTTTATGACAACACCATTTAGCTTTTTCAAGCTCAAAGCCATGGCTTCCTTTATGGATTCAATCCATCTCCTATTTGGATTTCCCTTTCCTTGTCTGCCTTCAACTTTCCTTAACATGATTGTCTTCCCCAATGAGTCAATAGACTATTACCAACTAATAGTAAACCTAAATATAAGGGTTTTTTTTTTCAGAATTCTGCAAATCATACGTGGTTTTGGCAAGTCATTTGAGTTAGGCATATGTAATATTGAAGTGCAGAAACTTAGCATGTTTTGTTTCAAGTCATTTATAGCAGTTTACAGTGAAATAAGATCTAAAGAAAGAGCTTGGAATCAGGCTGTGAAAAATTGGAGCGGAATATTAGTATTAATCTGAAAATAGGAGTTGTGAATTGTGAATTATGGAGTATACTTGTTTTTATTAGGGGACATGTGACATCTCTTTCTATTCATCCTTCTGGAAAGCTGGCTTTGTCAGTAGGAACAGACAAGACATTAAGGTGAGCTGAAAGGCTACAAACTTTAAAAATCCTCTTTATTTTAAGCTTTTATCAAAATCTTGGAACAGGCTCTATTGTTGTGGTGGAAACATTTTTCTTGCTGTGGAAACATTTTCCTACACTTTCCCTAAGACATCCTAGGAAGCAAACAACAGCCTTTCCAGAGTTGCTTCCTAGTATGTTTTAAGAATGAAGCTAATGTGGCAGAAACCATAAACTTATTTCCTAGAGTGTTTTCTTTTTTGAGGACCAGTAGTTGTTGGAGGGGTGGGGAGGCAAATGGACAAGACTTGAGAGGCCCACGCATTATTGACAAAATCCTTCATGGTTTTTTTTTCACAAGGGCATATATAATCATGAAAGATCCCTGTGAAAAAATCCTGGGGAGTTCTGTTTAAAAAGTCCTTTAAAAAAGAACCAGAGTTTGACAGCTAGCTGACAAGCTCGAATGGTGCATGCTTCCCACCTTCCTGAGCACCAAAAATCTCAGGAAAAAGGTAGAAAAGTGAAAGGACCCTCAGTGAAGCCTGGTCCAAAAAACCCCTTTGAGGTTCTTGCCATGAAGGGGATAATCTACCACATCGTTTTGATGAGAAAGCACAGGGTACAGTGTCATTGCCTCTCAAGTTTCTGCTGCCATCATATTATCATTTAAAAATGTGGGAGAATATCTTTGCCTATGGCTTTGTTACCTTCTGGCTGATTGGGAATCAGGTATGAAAAGGATAGAGTTGTCCTCCCACCCATTTGAGTTCTTGGAAAATATGCTGCTGATATTTAATGTAGAAAAACTGAAAGTACCGGTAATTAAATTAACGTAACATCTCTTACATTGGATGTTTATGAACGTATTTATTTCTGAACATACTTATTTTTTCACTCCAAAATATGTTTATCCATTCTATTGATATTTTTCAGAACATGGAACCTTGTAGAAGGAAGATCTGCTTTCATAAAAAATCTAAAGCAAAGTATGTTCCTTTCGCTGTGTATTTTCATGTGTTCCATAGTAGAGAAATAGCTGTGTTCAAAGTCTATTGCAATTGTTTGGTTGCAATGCAGCTTTGAAAATATAGAAAACATCAATTTGTTAATTAAAAATGTGCTACCTTTCTTCAATGTCTCCACATTTCATAAACTGCTTTAGGAGTAGCTAACCTCCGTATTGGCAGTTGGTTGATTCCTGGCTAAAAAAAAAAATCCCAATCCTAAATACTGTTATCTCCTCCAGTTTGACACCTCTTCAATCCTACAGCCACTTAGCTGGGAATGACCTTGTTGAACTCAGTGAGACTTACTTCTGAGTGTGGGCAGATAAGTTTAGGAATACAATGACAAATCCCTTGATTTGCTGCTAACTGATATTTGAGAAGGGTCTTCAGCTCCTCAGCCAGCACATTTATAACAAAACACCAAAACATGGTAGAAAATTTATATTTCAGTAGTAGATGGCATATAAATGGAAATATAAATAAATATATTTAGTGTTGTGTACTGTGAATAATTCTTAGCACCATGTTGAGCTTGTTCAGAAATTTTCAGAAGAAATGTTATCCAATATTCAAATGTTAATTTAACACATAGAAGTAAATGAAAAGCTTAACTTTTTCTTTCCAAAAATCCTCTAATAAAAGCATTAAACATAAAACAGGGAGAAAGAGCTTGATAAACTTTAAATTATCTTTTAGGAGTTTAAAGAGTGTTCTAGATGCTTCTAATTTTGGTACGGTTATTGAATTATGTTATTGATAGCTAATATTAGACCTACTTATGTCTTGCAATGTGATTCTTTGAGGTCCATCTTTTATGAAATCTTTATTGTGGTTTCTTCTTAGATGCACATCTTGTTCGGTGGTCACCTAGTGGTGAGATGTATATTGTGGTTATAGCTAACAAAATGGATATGTACAAGCTTGAAACTGCTTCTGTCTCTGGCACAATTGTTACAGAAAAAAGAATATCTTCAGTACAGTTTATTACAGTAAGTAGAAAAGTGATGTCCCAACATAGTGGTACCTCAGCTCACAAATGCCTCAGTTCACGACCAAACCAGGTCATGAACAAAAATTTCAGAAAAATTTTGACTCAGGTTGCAAACTCTGCATTGGGTAAGGATCGCGCCCATCTTCCCTGCACAGGCACACCCGCGATTGTGCCCGTCTTCCCTGTGATTAAAAAAAATCTTTACAGAACAGATTAACCTTACGTACATTGAACCTTATGGGGGAATTTGACCTGGCTCGCAACCAATTCGGGTATTGACCAGAGTCGTGGAACGGATTAAGTTTGTAAGCTGAGGTACCACTCTAGCTAAAATGCTTTAAATAAATTTAAATTAAATAAATAAATAAATAAATAATCTCATCTAATTTTTTAATCTTTTCTTAAAGGATACCATAGTTGCCGTTGCAGGAGATGAAGAATTTGTACGATTATTTGACTGTAAATCTGCAAAGTGCGTTTGTGAATTTAAAGCTCATGAGAACAGGTATAATTTTGCTGAATCACATCATTGCTTAGGGTATTTTGCATATTATGGTTTAATTTTTAACATGTGTGGTATTCCTTCATAACACTTTCATAAAGAAGTTCCAAAGAATCAGTACTTTAAGTTTTACTGATTTCATTTTGAAAGAATGAAATGTGTTGATTTTTCCAACTGACACCAGTAGTTGTTGAATCTTACCAGGTTTCTTCGTCTTTGCTGTTTAATTCTTCCTGATTTCATATATTATACTTAATATCAACTACTGTTCCATAGAATAAAAGAAATCTACAGTTTTGAAATGGAAGGTTCACATATTCTGGTGACTGCATCCAATGATGGATACATTAAGATGTGGCGTCTTGATCTGGACAAGGTTTGTAAATTATCAGGCTGTCTAGTTCATGGAAGAATACTTAGGGTATGTAACATTCCACGGCTAAAAGATACAGAAGGTAATATTCTTCTAGCTCTTGCACAACTATTAGTGTAAAAATTACATCTCAATAATTTGCCCAAGCATAATTGCACATTAGATTTTACGCTTGTGCAAGGACAAAAAGAGGATATAGTATTATATGTCCAGTTGGTTTTCCAACAGTGTTAGTGGAGCTTCTCATTAATTACAGATCAAATCATGTTGCAGTTATACTTAACTGCTTTTTTTAAAAACTAAAGAGACTTTGGTTTAATTGGGTATGAACTGCATCTCTTCCTTAGTGTTGAATGCTATTTGTGCTTATTCATCATATTCCACCCTTTTCTCACAAACAGTTTAGTGGTATTTCTGTATCACAGTGACCTTATGAGATTGAACAACTCTTTGCTTCTAAACCTAGTGAAAGCTAGCTTGCTTTCTCTCTCTGGTTTTGTCAGTATGACCTAAAGATTTGCAAAAAGTTGGCAACATGCCACTTGAATTATAGCTGTTCTGGCATCTAAAAATATATTAATTTTCTGTAATGAAATAGTTGGAAATACGGCTTGTTTCACTGAATGGTCACAGTGCACTGTGTCACTGCTTTGTCATCCTATCTGTATAAATGAGCAGAAGAGGAAACACACTGAATCAGACCAAAGGCCTAGCAAGTCCAGTATTTCATTTGAATAGTAGATAATTAATTTGCTTTTGAAAAACCCATAAGTAGGACATGAGTACAATAACACCTTCCTACTCATGTTCCCCAGCAACTCGTACACAGAAGCTTATTGCCCCTGTTAATGGTAATGTATCACCATCATGATTGGAACTATCAGTAACCTTATCTTCACTGAATTTGTCAAATCTCCTTTAAATACATCCGTATTGCTCACCATCTCTATGCTTAGTGATAGCAAATTTTATACTTTAACAAAGTGCTGTGCGAAAAAGCCCCTACTGTGATGTATATATATCTGGTGGGGGGGACGGGACGGGACGCTATTTATATATAGGTTATAATATATGGCCTCTGCTGCCCTGTCCTCCCTTCTGGTACATACTCTTAGTGTCTGGCTGCCTCGCTGCTGCCGTGTCAGCCACCTGGCCAATCACCCATTTCATGTACTGCCTTTTCAATTGCCTGTCTACCTACCTCCTAGCCAGCTTACTTGCCTCATGCACCTCCTGCCGAATTGCAAAGATTGCAAGAGGTGTGGACATGTCCGCATCCTGTGAGCCTTGCAGAAGGGACAGGCAATCATGAGACAACATTGCAGCATTGCCTAATGAGGCGAACAGTTTGGCAATCTGCCACACAGTGCATGAGGCGTGCAACCTGCTGGGAGGTAGACAGGTAATTGGCCATGTGGTGGGCATGGCAGCAGCTGAGCATGAGGGAGTGCATGCTGGGAGGGAAGACAAGGAGCATGAGAGCAGTCAATCACTGGCCTGTTCACCAGCAACTCAGCTGTTGCCAGACAAATAGGGCAGTGGAACATGGTGGCTGGAACCTCTGCGGCCACTCTTTCCAGCAACCTCACTGGCTAAAAGAGGAAAACTGCAGAAAAACATTGTAAATAGCTTCACATGTGACAAAAAACAATGTGGAAATCTTAGAACAAACTGTTCATTCTCCGTGGTGATTCACAGTAACCCTATATACCATGTTTCACCATGCTTCCAGTAGTCACACATAACAAGCTATTCCTGTCATGGCTTGTTGTTATGTGTAAATACAGCCAGAGTAGATGTTTATGATTTATTTTTTATTATTTTCATTGCTGCCATAATCTCAAGCTTCTTCACTAACCTTTCATAATTCATTTATTTGGTCATGTAGGTTGTTGTCTTAGAAAGCTCATGCAACAATAAATGCACTTGCTTAAATGTTGTATGTATTTTTTGGCAGCTGCAGAATAACATTACTATTTTTCTGGAATTTACATGAACTGACTTTTATTTCTTCAGATGACAGATTCCCCATCATTGCTATGTGAAGTCAATACTAAGGCCAGGCTTACATGCTTAGCAGTGTGGCTCAAAAGAGTCTCAGAAACAAAGCAGACAGCTAATGAAGCCATGGTATCTTCAGCTCAAGGTATCATAAGAATTCATTAGAGTTTGTCTCAGTTGAATTAAAAACAAATTATGTAATTACATTTTTAACAGTTAATAATTTTGTTCCAGTATGTGAAGCAGAAGAACCACTGATTAAGAAAAAGAAGATTTGTTGGATTGATTGTGATAAGTCAGCAGAGGGAGATGGCCAGGAAGCCTACACAAAAAGAAAATCTGCAGATGTACAACAAAAGAAGAAAAAGTTGCAAAAATTAAAATAAATAATGGTTTCATTACTATTTTCAGTCTTCAAAATATACTAAATGTCCACAAATCAGGTTTCATTTTTCCCATTTATGTCTATTTATGACAGCTTGATTTATTACTATCTACAGAAAATAGTCAGTTTTCAGATCTTTTGACTGTTTTAAAAATGAGAGAAATATCTGTATCAAATAAAAATAAATATTTCTTATTTTAGAAGAACTTAAAATTGTTTGCAAGTTGCTAACAAATTCTGGAGTTCATGAGTTAACTGTATGCGTTTTCTTTAATTGTCATAATTCTAACTTCTATTGCATTTTTGAAAGCATAACTCAAATACAGAAAACCCCATAGCATCGTTTGTAAATTGTTAATGAAATTTCCAGCAGGGGTGTTCTGTTTTCCTTAGTCCTTTCTATTTGTTGCTCTTAGAAAGGAAACTTTCATGTTCAGAACTTCATTCATTGGATTAAATAAGAACATACCTGTATGTATTTCAGGAAACATACATAGAACATAACTTACTGTACTGTCATTTGTTTTAATAAGGACCAGACATTTTATGCAAAAGGCTATACATGCAGATCTGCTTTCCTATATTAGGAAGCAAATGCAATAGGATGAGTTCTGTATATATAAGACTAACGTATTTATTCAATTTCTACCCCACCCATTAGCCAGAATGACGTTTAGAGCAGCTTCCTGTGCCCATAAGCCACGTTAGAGACTATAGAGCAAAACAGACCTTAATACGTGTTTATAGCCAATAGGTATAAACACTTTATGGGATGCAGGTGCTGCAGTGGTTTGGGCTGCTGGTTGGTTGATCGAAACAGGGTGAGTTCCTGTTGCTCCATCTCAGCTTCTGTCAGCCTTGCAGTTCGAAAGCATGCAAATGCAAGTAGATAAAAAGGTTCCACTTTGGTGGGAAAGTAAACAGCATTCCGTGCACTTTGGTGTTCAGTCATGCTGGCCGCATGACCATGGAGATTGTCTGCGGACAAACGCTGGCTCCCTCGGCTAGGAAATGGAAATGAGCACTGCCCCCTAAAGTCGACTGGACTTAATATCAAGGGGAAACCTTTACCTTTTATAAACACTTCTCCATGGAACCGTTGGTGAGCATGTATTAAACTGAATTTTGGAAAATGTAGGTAAAATATTAACTCTTAGCCTCTTGGCATATTACATATACAATTAATTTGGTAATGACTGCAATTAGCGATAGCACCAAAAATGGAAAAACTCAAGGCACCTGCAAGACACCGTCGCAGCTGGCTTGAAAAGAACTGTGTTCCAAGAGCAACTTTGGAAACAGTTTTGTGGTGGGTGGGCAGGGAGGTGAGAGAGAAATGAGGCCAACCATTGTTTCCTGGAAGTACCTCCTGCTTCCCTTCCTTGAGCTTCACTAAGGCAAATTCAACTACCAAGTGCTTTGCATGGCAGAAGAAGCATGGAGGAGATGTTGACTCCCACACTCTTCTTAGGATGTCTGTAATCCCCCCAAGCTCAGCAGGTTATGATGAAACACTTTGGATTCTGCTGTATGTGTAGTACATCAAAGTGAAGCAACCAAGAAGGGAAATGATAGCCTGAAGTGCCTGATCCTGCCTAATCTTGGATGTTTGGAATCTGGATGGAAGATTTAAGTCCTGCTTTGGGCAGGCAGTTGGACCTGATGGCCTGTTAGGCCCTTTCCAACTGTATGATTTTGTGATTTCTGTGAAAAAAATGTTTTTTTGTTATTTGTAGAAAGTAATTTTTGTATTATTAAGAAAAATAAATGAAAGTTATCTCCCCAAACACTGAATCCCCATATTATAATTCTGCTTATTTTCAGGTGAATAACAAAAATGGAACACATTCTAAATAACTTGATTTTAATGGAAATAGAGGAATGCAGGAGGAGTTAATGGTCTTTAGTTCTAACATTGATGTTAAATGTGGGAAGTTTACATTTTAAAATTTGCTAACCAAAAGATTCTGATTTATTTAAAAGTACTAATGTATAACATTGCTTTTTTTGCATCAATTTGGTTCTTTAAAATAATTGCCTATTAAAAATGAATTCTGAGATTGCATTCATTGAATTTTGGGCACATATGCTACTTCTAAATTAGGCCTGGGCAACATAAGTAGTTTATGATTTCTATAAAGATAGCCAGCAGAACAAGCAACCTCAGTATAGACAGTCTGAGAATTCACCTTTTTATATTTTGACCCAATGAAGTAAGATTCATGTGTCTTGGATTCAATGTGCTATGTTCTTGTTATGTATCTAGAAATCATGCTCTTTACCTGGTCTTACACTGATGAACTGCAATCCTATGACACTCGTGGGAGTAAGCTGCATTGAAAATACTGATGTTACAGCACTTAATGAGCAAACATGCACAACATCATGTTGTGGACAGCTTGAGAATGAGAGACAATATACAAAGGAGCGGATGTGCAACTATAATGGCATATTGAGATACTTTAATATATTTCTTAAGTGTTTTAAAATCGCAGGAACTATTATTTTGAAACACGACTAGTTTAAATATTTCTTTTTGCAAATAATCAGTAGAGATACGGAGCTATCAGCATAACGTGAACTCTTACGTTCAGTACGTTTGGACTGACGTAGCAGGGGAACTACTGCCGGGGAAAACGGAAAGGCGAAAAACCCAGGGCAATACGCTGCTTGGCCGCGGCTTTGCCAACTGCGGCTAAGGCCTTCGCTCTGATTGGCCCGCGTTCACGTGCCTTGCTCTTCCGTAGCATTTCCACTGCCGGGAGCGTTCGGTTTTGAGAGGCAGGTTCGACGAGAACGGTCCATTGCGGCTGAACAGCAGAGTGAGTAGCTTCACTGAACGGAGATGCTTTGCGGCGTTTCCCTCAGAAAGTAGTTAATAAGCTGCTCTTAAGCCTGTCTCTTGCTGCAGTTGTTTCCCTTCACTGAGCATATCAAGAGCCCCTGGCTTTGTATTGGATCTTTGGGGCATGTATTAGTTGATGGATGAAGGAAGACACGCTGCAACAGATAAACAGATGCAGTTGTAAATTAGACAGATTATTAAAATTAAACAATATGGATTGGGGTTTTTTCACCAAGAAACTTGTTTCGCACCACAAAAAAATAACAGGATCAGTAAAAATACTCTTGGTTGTGACCACAAATATTCAAATAGTCTTTTGAGTTACATAGCTGTGTTCCCTAGCCTAGATAATCGGTTTTTTAAAATTAGACTTGGAAAAAACATTTCCAGAAAACAGAATAACTAAAGGCACAATTCTTGCAGGTTTAAACAGAAAAAAAAGGTCCTACAGTGTTATACCATTTAGGTCTGTCTAAGCACCCATGCATAGTGTAATGCCCTAAATGTTTAATATGTGAACACTCTGCATTTGTTCTAGAAATGATTGTCTGCAAAGCCAAATAGTACTGAGAGTGATTTCATTAAAACAGCAGATGCACTTTTTATATACATCAGCCTGCAATTAAAGAGTGACTTTATTATATCATGTATTCCACCCTTTCTCTCTGTAGTGCAGTCAGGGTCGATTTTATTCTCTTAGCAATAAAATAAGATAGTTCAGTCTGAGAGTTATGTTGGTTTGCTTACTTGTTTTAATCTGTTCCTCATATGCCCACAATTTAGAAGGTCATTTAGGAAAAATTGTTATATATTACTCCAGCCTGTAGGCGTTTATTAAAGTTAATACAAAAGACTACTCAGACATGAGTCCCTTCCCGAAGAATGCTTAATATTGCATTGCCTTTTCAGGATACTTTGCAATCAACATGTCATTTCTTTCTGCATCTCTTTATAAATTCTATTTATATATAAGGACTACAAGCTCTGACTTGTATCCAAAACTGCTTGGTGAATCTGAGACTGAACTAAGTTAAAAATAAGGAAAAAGAAAGAACTTGAAAATCTCTTGTTCTCCTTTTCCTCATTAACATTGTTGAAATGAATTGAAGGGACAGAGGCAGCGAGCGAGAATATGCACACATGTAGCAGTAAGTTTGGTAATCAGGAATGGAAGAACTTATAAACAGGAATTCATAAATAGGTAATTTCCATAAACCCAGTTTGCAAGGCTGAGAGTATGAATTCTTAATTGTTGTGTAGTAGGAACTAAGGGGATGAACCTTGCTTAAAGATATTTTCATACAGGAGACATCAAGTTTATTTGTATCCCTGATTTTCACTTCTTAAAAAATTATGATTAGTAGTGTTTGAGTTATTACAATAACCCATTAAGATTTATTCTGTTGTATTTCAGGATGGGGCTGGATTGGATTGGTTTTGGCTATGCAGCCTTAGTGGCTTCTGGTGGAATCATGGGCTATGCAAAAGCAGGTAGAGTATCTATGTACCCTGAAGGTCTTTTCTTTTCTGCAATTAAATCTATTTCCTAAAATGGAAAGTCCACTTCTAAGAAGGAAAACTTCAAGTATTCATTCTGAGACTGTGAACAGACAACAAGCTACCATTATTAGCTCTCTTTTCTTGATGCTGATTGGCTTTTACATATAATGGATCCCCCTTTTTAACTGAGCAAGTGTTTTGGAATGATAAACTTTCAAACAGTCATCTACTTGTACATATTGATAACTCCCTGTGCAACACCCTAATTTTTGTTAGTGTAAGCAAACTGTTTTTTGCTGATGTTCCAACAGTGCTTCCCTGCACAAATGAGTGCTGAGGACAAACAGTGAACCTAATGGGTAAATTAGCAACTTTGCAGGTACAGTTACAGGCTTTTAAAATTATCCTTATAGTTGTAGATTTTTTGCAGTCATTACCACTGTTAGAGTTTTCTATCCTGTCTAGAGACAGAAAAATTCTGAAAACTGAATCAGAAGGGGGAAAAATGCTTCCCCTCAGTGCCCAAAAATAAAGTGAAAATGTTGCAAAGTTGAAATCTTTCTTATATCTAAATTTAGTTATTGCTTTAAGGCTACAATCACACATCTGCTTACGTAGGAGTAGAGCCCACTGAATTCAGTGGGACTTGCTTCTGACTGGGTATGAATATGATTGGGCTGTAACAATTGTGCTGTAACAATGTGAATTGTGTCATGTATATCTTGGAAATTTTATTCTGTAAAATTCAGACAATGATTACAAATACACTGAGTGTTATAGATACAGTTGCATCATAGGTAAGAATACAATGGTACCTTGGCTCATGAAATTAATCCGTTCCAGGACTCTGGTCGTGACTCAAATTGGTCGTGAGTCAAGTCAAATTTCCCCATAAGGTTCAATGTAAATAAGGTTAATCCGTTCTGCAACTTTTTTTTTTTTTAATCACAAAAATTTGAAGCAAAGTGACAAAGAACAACAAAGGTTGCGGCCATCTCCCCCCCTTCCCGAGCACAAATGTGGCCATCTCCCCCCTCAGCATGACCGCGATTGCGACCATAGACGGGTGCGAATGCGAGCGCGCTGTGGGGGGATAGTTGCGATTGTCACCCGATGGGGAGTTCGCAACCTGAGGCAAAATTTTCTGAAATTTCTGTTGGTGACTTGATTTGGTCATGAACTGAGGTATTCGTGAGCTGAGGTACTACTGTAAAGGTAAAGGTAAAATGAACGTTGAAAATAAACTGTGAACATTGTAGAAAAAGAAGGTCTTTTATGATACGGTCTTAGAAATGACATATAGGACTCAGCATAAGCTAGAAACTACTGTCAGGGAATACCATTTTTGCAGCCTACAAGAATACGCGCTTGGATCCACAGGGAGACCTCTGTGTGTTAGGAACCTCAGCAATTTTATTGGTGATAACATCCAGGAAAAACCTCTCTGCAGAGACAAACCTACAGCAGCCTCTTGGTTTTGCAATTAAATGTAGCAGCTGCCTTAGTGGAATGGAGTCTCTCTGTCTTTTAAAGAAACAGATGACTAATAAAGCTTCAGAGAAACAGAGGAGCCTGGCTTGGATTTCTGGGGAAAAGGCTTTCTCTATAAAGATTTATTTGGACTCCCCCAACTCTAGGGAGGTTTGCATTTTTAGAAAAGGTGCTCTGAAACCTAGTGTTCTAATGAAACCATAAATTGGCAATATATTTGAATATTGATATATTAGACACATGAAAACTACAGTCATATGCACACTTACAGTTTCACATTTTGTCCAAACCAAGAAGCTATAGTTACCAATTTTAAAACAAGAAATTGAAACCAATTTCATATAATGCCTTATGATTCTGAGATGTTCCAAGACTGATATATGTAGCTTTCTAATTGGACAGAATTAGAAACCATAGTTAATTAGAAGTTGCCTGGTTTGTTTGCTCATGTCCCTAATGGAAGGACAAAGGGGCTGCACAGGATACAGTCATATCATGGTTTATTAAGCTATTATCCTTATTTAAATACTGTAGTCTTTAAAATTCTAATAGAAATTGTATTGATTATGACTTCTCATTCAAGTTCAGGCAGAAAAAGGCCTACAATTTTCAGCATTCCCCAGCCATGGCTCAACCTGCGTACAGCTATGTCCTTGATATCTGAAAGAGCCATGGGTTCTGTTTGAATTTCATGGGCTTCAGGAAATGGAAGGTTTGCTTGAATTAATTTCACACTCCTTAATTCCAAATCACCCTTTAAAATCAATTTAAATTAATTCCAAATCAGTCTAAAAAGTGTGTCTGCTGGTTTCAGGCAAGCCTTCCATTTCTGGACTTCCATGAAGCTGTAAGTACTTTACTCTTAATTCTGAAACAGGAAATGCTGCATAAAGGGGTTTTTTTGTGGGGGCAAGGTAAAAAAAAATCCCATGAATGGGGGAAAGAAATCAGAAAAGGAATGTGCTTCCTCTTGAAAACTTTGCATGGGAAGTCACCCTTCTCCAGGCCTTCACATCTCTCAACATGTCAGTAATTTTAATTGAATGCAAGCTCCCACAAAAGAAAGAGCATACACAAGCTGTGGCTTTTGTGTCAGTAGGGGGAAATAATGGGTTGTATCTGATGATGATGTTGTACCAGTGGAAGGAAGGCTGTTGGTAATGCAGATTTCTTTCCTCCTCCATCCTCCTCAAATCTGCTGTGGAGAATTGGGGGAGGGGGTTAGGGCAGATTTGGGGGATGTGCAAGGGGCTGCAGAATGGAGAAAGGGATGGGGATCTCCCATTGAACAAACAGGGATCTGCTCATGTGACAATGCCTGCAAGCCAGCATTTTTCCCTCTTCCCCATGGCTTTTTCTGCAGATGAATAATTGAACAAAGAAGGTCTCTTAGGAACTCACTGTAGTACTGGAAAGGGATCAAAGTACTGCAATGAAAGTCCTTAGAGATAATATCCTCCTGCATGTATAATTCCCATTAACCTCAGCAGAAAAATCTATGCATTGATTTGCAGTGAGACATTTGATGTTATGGGGGCCACAGGTGGGGCTTTTATCTTGCAGTACTTTGACAAGATAGAATCGCATTTTCTGAAAAATATGGCTCCAGAGAATAAGTGGTAGGGGCGATCTTGTGCTGGTGCATAGACCCAACTAGCTGTTTTCTGCTTTCTTTTGTCCTTCATCTGAACATATTTCTGTTTAAAGAACAAACAAATCAAAAGTAAAAATACCTATGTTTAAAGGTATCTGGGTGAAAGGCTTAAAGAAACATAAGGATCTTAGCACTAGAAATTTAAATTGAGTGTATTTATTATGAATAGGACAATTTCATTTGCAGGTCACCTCTCACTGTATAAACCGATGATGGGACTAGAAGCAGTCTCCAGAGACATCTTCCTAGAATAGTGCAGGATTATCTTTTGAGAGTAAAGTACTCTTAAGGGCTTATTTTAAAGGACACCAACATAATGTGAAGCTTTACCATGAGAAAGTTATGGAGGATAAGGCAGACACAGCAGGATTTTTCTTTTAACAAGGATTTCTATTTCTGTCCTGTAGACAAACAATGGTTTACCCAAACCACAGTTTGCATTATTTGGATACAGTGTCAAACTGTGATTTAGTCAAAGCAGGGAGAGTCAGAACAAGAGTGAACAAGGGGAGGCAGAATGTACAAGCTGCAAGGCACAGACAAATACAGCCAAATCAGTGGGCAGTACCCACTGGGCCCTAAACCCAGCAATGTTCTGGCCACAACATTCTGGACTAGTTGAAGCCTTCAGCCACTTTTTAAAGGCACTTCCATGTAGAGTACATTACAGTAGTCCTAGGGAGTGTAATTCCATCTTACAATGATTAAGTCTCTTTCTTCACTTTGTTATATTTTTTGCTTGCAGGAAAGTACATTTTTACTCAGGCTTGCCCTTGGTCTTGCACTGGAGGAGCTTTGCACTAATGAAGTATAATTTATGGTAGCACCGGTGTGACAAGGAATACTGCCTGCTGGTTTGGTTGCTTTTTTTCCTGAGCCCTGTGCTCACGTTTGTGGACTCGCCTCGTTCAATCCTGACTCCCTCACGACTTTGATTTAATCATAGTTTGACACTGCACCCAGGTCATGCAATCTATGGTTTGGGCAACCATTGTTTGGTTAGAGAACACAAAGAGAAATCCCGCTGAAAAGAACAATCCTCCTATGTCTGCTCCACCCTCTACAACTTTCCCATGGTAGAGATCAGCATTATATTGGAATCCTTTAAAATAAGCCCTTAGAGCACTTTCTTCTTTCAGGATAATCCTGTAGTATTCTAGGAGAGTGGCTTAGGTTAGGAAACTCATCTAGTCCCATTATCAGCTTATAAAGAGAGAAGTGACCTGCAAACTAAATTGGGGAAGAATCACCACTTTTGGTTACTGTTGAATGGTTCCGTTTATCAGGCTCTAGGTCCCATTCAATATCTCTTGTTTCTAATTGATGCAGGGAGTTATTTTAATGATTTTGTTTTAATCTGAATTTGATTTATTGTTAGTCACTTTAAACCAACAATATATAAATTAACAGAAAGACATGAGATAAATTTATGAATTTAATAAATTAGTTTTTGAAGCACAGGAAATGCTGTATTAGCTGACAATTGGTTAGAACAAAAATGTTACTGATTTTTCCTTACATAGTCAGTGCATACTTTACCACTTAACAAATGCAGTTTGTTTGTTTATTCAAGGTAGTGTCCCATCTTTGGCTGCTGGTCTTCTTTTTGGAGGTTTAGCTGGACTGGGAGCTTACCAACTGTCTCAAGACCCAAAGAACATTTGGCTTTCCCTATGTAAGTGTACACTATATCAAAATAACTCTTATGGCAAACCTTTTACTATGTCTATATTTTCTGGCACTTGTCCATGTAGCACTACTGGCCTTATTCAATAGCAACAAAGCCACTTGGCAAAAGCTGCAAAACCACCTATTTTTATGGGCACAGTATTTTGGAGTAACGTTAGGGCCATTTCATGGGTTTGGTATCAGGAACCCATGAGTTTTCAGCCACCCAAGCATTTGGTCCCAGAGCGTGAGGAGAGAAGGCTAAGCTGCCACTAGGATTCCACATATGTTGGTAGAACCTCTTTCTTTTCCTCCCGGTCTCCAAAAGCCCATCTTTGAGGTTGGTTTTGCATTCCCAGAGCTGCAGCTGGTACAGTTCCTTTGCACTGGCTGCAGGAGCAGGGGGAGGGCACTCTGAATTTCAAGTCTCATCTTTACTCTTGGAACAATTTTCTAACAGCAATAGGATTGTGCTCTAAGAATGCTGAATGCACACAGACTCCCTCACAACCCAGTACCTTCCAGACGACTCCAAGGATGCCTGACCATTTCCCATGCTGGCTGGGGCTGATGGGAGTTGAAGTTGGAGAGATGGAACATAATGGCAGAGCACCTGCTAGGCTTGTCAGGTCAAACCCCTGGCTTCTCTATGTACAGCTAGGAAAAAATCCCTCAAGAAACCCTAGGCAAGGCCGTATATGGCATGAGGCAGCTTCCTAAGAGGTCCAAAGGTTGGGCAAGTCTGAACTTGGAAGGAAGCCCCTTTGAACACAGAGGAACTTACTTCTGAGAACAGATGCACAGGACTGTACATTGCACAAGTTTGTAAAATGGCACTGATGTGAGGGGGAGGCAGATTGCTGTTCATCACTCAGAATGTTGGAGGAAACTATTCAGTTAGTGCTCACGCAGTTCAAACATGCAGAGGACTGGTCAGTTTCTTCACAACAAACTATGGCAGGCTGAATACTGGAAAAATGCTTTGTCGAGCAAAGGCCACTGGATTTCACATAATAAATAACAATAAATGTTTTTATTTATGTGGTGAACTAATTTGATCTAGGAGTACATAGCTTCATGTGTTTGGGCCCTAAGCGAAAAGCAGAGCTGGTGATTTTTGGTGCATGGGTAGCACTTGGAGATGGTTTTAATGGTACAGTGTTGAAGTCCAGAACTGCCAGTATTGCTCACAGGTCCACGCATGTAGCAGTGATTGGTGAGGAAATTAGAACAGGCAATCAAATGCCCACTTTCACTTTCTTCAGTAAACGTCAAGGCATCTTGGACTACTTCTGGAGGGGAGGTACATCCCTTGAGATGCTGGCTCAGTTGAAATGGTCTTCGTTCTGCACCTCACCTTATCAGAAAAAGGCACATGAGGAGGAAAGTTGACTGAGCCATAGCCTCAAAGAGCACTGCTTGAGACTGTAGCTCAGTTGGGCACAGCTCTTCTGCCCTTCTCTGAGGCCATGATGAAAGGGGCCTCATCCTATAATCAGGATGCATTTGCAGAGAATTTCACTTTGCCATGTAGAGTTCATTGTTCATACTTGTTGTTTTAGAAGGGGGAGGGAAGGAAGAAATGATTTTAAGTAATTATGATGTTGAGAATGTCACAAAATGATTTGAAATATTTGCATTTGTAACATTAAACTCTGGATTTCTGTTTCTGTATTTGAAATACTAACATGCACAATGCTGTTGGTTTTTCTTTATCATTCTCTACATGTTGACAGTTACTTAGAGAAACACCCAGAAGATAATGCTACCTTGTTTTTTATCTTCCAATTAGTTGCTTCTGGAACCTTAACTGCCATTATGGGTGTGAGATTCTACAATTCAAGGAAATTCATGCCTGCTGGATTGGTTGCTGGTGCAAGGTATTGTGCACACTTGCCTTACTTTCAGAAATTAGGACGCAGTTCTATGCACACTTGCTTAGGAGAAAGCCCTATTACATCAGTACAACTTGCTGATAGGATCAGGCTGTAATTATATTTTTTAAAATAGCATTCTATTCACTAGGAAGGGCAATATTGGGGTGTCTGATATAAAAATCAACTGTGACCCTGAAGTGATGAAGTAATTAATTTCTCAGGTCATTTTTAATGTAGTCTTTGCAGTGAAGTAAAGATTACTTAATTCCAATAAAATAGATTACTTAGTCCCAATATGAGTAAATGCACTGGAAGGTCACTGAAATGATATTTGGAACAGTTTTTGGCTGATGCAAACCAGTAAAAAAACTGAGTTTGTGAATATATTCCTATTTTCTGCAATTAGAAACATAGAAACAGAGTGAGTCAGAGGGGGCCTCTTGGGCAGATCAAGAAAGGAATATTTCTCACTTGCAGTGTGAACCAACCAGAGGGGATAGATGAAGGCAGGGAATGTTAGCACTGGAAAAAGAAGAGACAAGCATTATCCTTTAACTGGTTTTTAAGGACTATATGGTATCAGTTTAGTGAGGCTGAGAGTTGAGGTTATCGGCTTAATGGATAGCCTTACCCAATGTGATGCCCTCTACATGTGCTGAACTGTAATTTGCAGAATCCCCCATCTAGCTATGTTGAATGGCAGATTTGTAGTCCAGCGCCCCTGGAGGCTGCTAGATTGAAGAAAGCTGCACTAGCCAGTGGTTTTTTCCCTCCAATCTGTGTCTCAGCTGGACATGAGAGGGGATATGAATGGTATGGGAGAGTCTTTCCTCTATTCCGTTATGTCCATGAACTGACTTAGAGTTTTCTTTAAAGTTTGCTGATGGTTGGAAGACTTGGACTGAAGATGATAAATGAAAAGGCTCATGAGAGATAAAAGAACATTCCATGTGGTTTTGGCATGTGGATAAGAAGACTGAAACGCATCAGGTCAAAGGTGATGTGCTAAATAGAATGAGAGAATGATCATACCCCAAACATGTGAAAGGTCTAATTTTTTAAAATATATAAACATATAGTGCAGATAATGGACAAGATTCTCTTTGTGTACAAAAATACCCTTCCAGATTTCAGGCATAACTGCTGTTTATGATATAACATTTGGTATGCTGATGTTGTCCTAATAATCTTTTTCCCCTGAGCTAAATACAGTAATAAGTGCCTGGAAAGGCAGAGGTAAGCAGTTGGCTTAATTAAGAAAGAGATTATGCATTGTGAGCCAGCAGGGAAAGGTCTGGGTGAGTGCAATACGTGCCAGGTTTTAGCTGTTCTATTCCTGCTGGGAGACAGCAGAGAATCGGATCACCCTGAGCTGCTTTCCAACTTTAGCAGCAATTGCCTTAGTGTATGAGCTGCACACTTGGCTCCTACACAGCCTGCTGGTGTGACATTTCTCTGCCACATTCATGTAGCAGGACCATTTAGGAGAAGGTTTCTATAAGCAAATGCATCTGAGTCAGTAAGCCATGCACTGCTTGCTTGCCACACCAGCCTTCTCCAACCTGGTGCCCCCAGATGTTATAGACTCCAGTTCCCATCAGTCCCAGCCAGCATGGCCAGTGATCTGGAATGGTGGTCGTTATTGTCTAAACTATCTGGAGGGCTGTCCTATGGGATGTTGCTACCTTTGCTGGAGTAATTTTCAGTGGAGAAATAGTTGAGGTTTATGTTGGAAGTGTGAGGATGTTTTTGTTTCTATTGCATTAGCTAAAATGCCACTGAAAATAAATGTTTTTAATATGTACAGATATATGTATACTGGATCAGGGTACTCCTGCACTATTCTTTCTCAAACTGCTTTTTTAATTAGTGGAACGTGTTGAAATACAGACTTTGATCATGTCTCCAAGTCTTGTCTTTATATAAAGAGAAACAGGAAGATATTGTATATGATGCATATATAATACACAAAGCTTCTGTTGCAGTTTCTTTAAAGAGAGCCGGTGACCAGATCTGACAGAGTGGGCTATGGCAAACTAAACATTAAAGATGCCTTGCAAGTTGCAGCTCAAAGTTTGCTTTGTGAAATAATGCAAATCTGCACCTATGTGTCTTAATTCAACACTATCCTCTATAGAGGTTCATACCTGTCTTCCCATCCACGGGGCTTAGCTGGTAGCAAAAAACCCAAGCACCTTCTGCAACTCAGTGCCCTCTAGATATGTTGGATTACAACTTCTAGAACCCTCAAGCCTGCAACTTTAAACATTGCCTGTTGCTAGATGTTTTCTTATAAATCTCACTGACAACACACAGTGGCTACATTCTGAACTCTGCCCTCATATATTGCACTTGGGAAACTCAGGGGCTCTTCTCCTCTGCCCAGCCTCCATTTGACAATAGTGTGCATGAATGGAAGCATGTTTTCCTTCATGCATGAAACAGCAGGAGTGAAATTACTCTCTTTGGTTCACAAGGCACCACTGTTCCAGAACTGTTCCATTTTATTTGTAACATATAATCCTGTCATACCTGTTTGGTAAAGCACTAGCAAAATTGGCCCAGTGGATAGTTGCACTCTGAATGCAGCTGCACACAATCCGCAGGTGTAGAAGCCTGGCCTATGAAAAGAGACGACCCCTAAAATCTATTTGTAAAATCTTTTTGCCTCTCTTGTTCATTCAGTTTAATATCTGTGGTGAATGGGAAGAGTTTCTGGGTGAGACTAGAGAGCATCTCATGATAGACTTGTATCTGTGTTCTGCCCTTGGGGTTTATGAGGGTGGGAGCCTGTAGTAGCTGGAGACGGGAATTCCCTCTGGGTGAGAGCTAGTGGAGAGAAGTGCTTGCAGCATTCCAGGTGAGAGATGGAGCGAGCATGAACTAGTGAATGTAGGTTTGAATGACTGCTGGGAAAGATAAGGTTTGGTCGTCCTTTGTGTAGCTTGGCAAGTTGGCAAGCCTGCTGCAGCATAGATTATTTGTTAGATTTATATCCCATCTTTTTCTTTCTTAAAACAACTTAAAGCAGCTTACATCATTCTGCTGCTGCTGCCTATCCTCACAACAGCAACCCTAAGAGGTAGGTTGGGCTGAGTGCCTGTGACTGACCTAAATCACTCAGTTGGCTCCATGACAGAGTGGGGACTAAAATGCAGATTACTTGAATCCCCTGTCCCCTGCTGTTAATCACTGTACCATACTGGCTCTCATATATGGTGGCTTGTTATACTCAGAAGCTATAATTTGTGACTCTGCTGGCTTGGTTGTATGTGATTGACCAGATGAATGGAGTGTGCTGAGATTGTGAATGTTGAGAGTGTGTTTGAGCTGAGGTGGCTGTTGAGAGTATGAGAAGAGTTCCAGTGTGGTAACGATGTGCTTGAAACCCATCAAGGTGGTTCCTGTCTTCCAGTGACTAGACTCACAAGGAAAGACAGGAGGACATGAGGTCAGAACTTCCGAGTAGTATGAGTTACAGATGTTTATACACTATTTCTCTTCCACCCACATCCCGCAATACTTGGTAGCTCATCCACTAAGCCCTCCTGTCTTGTAGAAGTGCTATTTAACACTGAATCGGTCCACAGCAAGACCACCTTCATTCCCAATGTAACTGTGGATGACTAGGCCAATCTGACACATCTAACTGCACCTTGGATGGATACGTTTATTTATTTCTTTATTTAAAACATTTTTATGCCGCCCCCATCGCAACAAAGCCTCGGGGTGGCTCACAACAAGAACAAAATTATATAATAAAAATATTAAAACCCGGTGCATCTCGGCTTCAAAAAATGTAAAATCCTACAAATAACCAATAAATTAATACTTAAAATAAGTTTTAAATAAAAAGTTGGGTGGGACTGATCTGGTTCAGCACTATCCAGCTGGGTAGTTGATGCAACACCAATATAGGTTAAAAGGCCAGTGGGGAAGAGTTGTCATGGTTTACAGAACTTCCATCTCTTTCATCAGGAAAATGCTCCACATTGCAGTGGACCTTGAGAGGGCTACACCTGGTGTTGGGCCACAGAGCATGGATGCTGCTAGTGTACCACTCACCTTGCTACTCAGTGGTTTCCCTGAACAAACTGGCAAAGAACAGTGGTTCTGGGTGACTTTAATTTCCATGCCTGAAGCTGTTTGTGGTCCTCTGGCTCAGGACTTCATGGCCTGGTGATCTAGCCAAGGCCCTGGTCTCATGGTGTGACATGGAAGGCTATCGATTTGATTGCATCTGAGTGCCATCGCCTGTGCTTGATACACTATTGGAGCTGCAATCTGTGGCACAGGCTGGGAATTGTTTAGAGTGCTAGTGGTGGAAAACTCAAGGTGAAGATGACTGAGCATGCCCTGGAGCACATATCCATGCCTACTGCACTGCACTGCACTGCGGGCAGCAAAGAAAGCGTACTTTGCTGCCTCCATTGCATCCTTGAGTAGTGTCCAGCAGAGATCTTTCAGCTGGCCTGGGGGATAACATTCTCCTCCAGTGAATGGAGCCCTAGTCTCTTTAAGGACCTTCATCACCCTCTGAGACCAACATCTCGTCTCCGTGGGAAACATGACACTGTTGTTAGTGCAGCTCTAATTGAGGTGCCTGACAAGGTCACCTGCTGGATTTGCAGGATCAGTTTTAGTTGCTGTGGCCTGACGATGTAGACAAAGTGCTTGCAACAATAAGACCAACAGTGTGACTTCTTAACCTTATTTCTTTTGGCTAATAAAAGGTAGCTGAATGGGTATGACCAGATGGATCCAAGAAGGGGTACATGTATCCTTATGCAAAGCCACCATTCCTTCTGCCCTTAAGGAGGCGGTAGAGCAGAGCAGCCACTTCTGCAAAACAAACAAACCTATGGACCCAGTGGCATTATACAACCACTGTTCAGCCATGGTTCTGCATCAGCTGTGGTCTAGCTGGAGTCCTCCCAGGGAAGAGCCTTCTGTGTGGTTGCCCCTTTCTGTGTAACACTCTGCTTCTGGAGGCAGGCACAAATATTGGTGCCTGCTGAAAAGATTTCAAGAAGATTTCCTTGAGTGACCAGCCACTTTAAATAAATAAATTATATATATATAGTGTATAAAAACAACAAAAGTCTGCTATGGTCTTCCATTAATTTCAGCATTTGTTTACCACTCTGCAATCTGTTTATATACATAATTATTGTAATGAAATAAAATACTGCCAACAGCAGACTTGGATAGACTGATGCCTGAGTAATCTTGGATATAATTCCAAATACCTTGGACTAGAATTCCTGTGCATGACTGCAGTCCCATCACATGTGCACCACAGAGCCCTGGTCACTGCAACTTCCCCAACAGCAATTTAAAAAAAATCCACACCGGTGTAAGAAGACACCTATGCACGTGCTTCAGCATTAATCTTGGTCATGGAACTAGGAAATACAATAGTGTTTTGTAAAAACTAGCAGACATGTTCAAAACTATTCTGCCCATCCTTAGATTACCACTAGAATTCCGTTGGTTTACTTCAAGCAATTTAGTAGGCTCTGCCCGCAGTACTGAAAAGGTAAGGAATTTCAAGGAAGCAAAGAATTTTGATTAGACTGTCAAAATATCTTAGGTGAGTTCTGTTCATACCCAATGATGATATCATTACATTACAGTTATATCCCTGTTTTCCTCTTGTGAAAATCCTATGGCATCTTACATAATCCTTCCATATAGCATGATGTGCCTGGTCCTGCCTAAACTTGGAAACTAAGTGTGGTCAGGCCTAGTTGAAATCTGGATGAGTGACTTGATGTGAACTGCCCAGAGAGCTTCAGCCACAGGCAGTACAGTAATGTAATGAATAATAATAATCATTTAAGGCTGGGATTCAATAACTGGCCCAAAGTCACCCAGTGAGCATCCAGACTGACTGGGGACTAGAACCCAGGTTCCTGAGTACCACCTCTAACCACTAAGACACACTGGTTTTCACTTGGAAGTAGTGCACATTCCCTCTGACCTGGCTGTCTCCCATACCAAATGGCAGCATGTCCCAGATTCCCCTGTGATGGTGCACTGAACTCCCTAGAGTTCTCAGTTAATCGCTTTCGTTCCCTCTCCTATTCCCTCTCATTCTACTCAGGTAGTGAAGGGGATCGCCTAAGGAAGAGTTGGGGGAAAGTAAATCCAGTGTATCAGCCAGCCAAAGTCTGAATGCTGTACATTCTCCTTTCAGCGAGAGAGCGAATCTATTGCTGCCATGACTGCTGTGCACATAGCTATAATTGCTAAGCCACTGCTGTGCAAAATGCTGGCGCAGGATGTTCAGCCAGAATCTTACATTGCCTTCAAATGCAGCTTTTTCTTTTGTACAAAATATTACCCTCCTTTCTGCTCTGCTGTCCAGGAAATGATTACCTGTGGATTATATTGGTATGCAAATTCTATCAGATTCATTTCATGGCTAGCACCAGAAGAGGGCAGAGAATCCAAGTTTGCAGTGTAACTACAAACAAGGAATCTTAATGTAGGTTGGAAGTCATGGAGGAAGGCATATCACACCTTTGAAATCTAATGAGAAAGAGCTAGGAATATTTCTTCAATTGAAGAATGTTGTTTTCAACTGCACTGTAGAAAAGAAGAATGAATGTCATTTTTGTAGCAAGATGGCTAGGTCTGCCACATTTACTGGTCCCTTTCTCATAGCATCATGAGGGGGTTGTTCCACATTCCATTGCTATTTTAGTAGCATTCAGCACCATATCGAGAGAGGCATAAGAAGAACCTGCTGAAGGGAGAACAACGCAGAAAACATTTCTGCCAAAAATAGACCCCAGGGTGCCTGGGATTAAGCATTGTTTGGACACCCAGAGTTCTATTCCCAGGGTTGTGAGAGCCCACATGCTCAAGAATTGTTTATACGTTATTCCATCTGTATCTTCCTCCCAAGGAGCTGAAGGCAGCAATATGATTTTTCTCCCCATCACCACCATATTCTCACAAAATCCTTGTGGGAGTAGAGCAGGCCCAACATCATCTGGTCTGCTTTGCAGCCTGAGGGGATTTAAATCTGAACCTCTCTAGTCTTACACCAGCACTCTAACCCCTACACCACACTGGCTCAATCCTGTAATTGTTAAGCGTCTGAGCTGTGACCCAGAAAGTCTCCTTTGGTGTCAGCTGTTAATTCTCTAGGTCATCCAGTGTTCAGTGTTAAGCTAGGCTTGGCACTTGATGATAAAGAAGGGAAGTCTCCTGTCGGGTTATGTTTTTAAGCCTTTGGGCTAGCTACCAGCATATTTTATTCAAAGCCTTGGAAATACATTTATTTATCTGATCTATACCAAAGGTGCATCTATACGACAGGATGCAAAGACTGTGGCATCCTGTGTTCTATACCAAGAAAAATGGTACTCGTAGCTGTTGCCAGACCTTTTGATGAAAGCAGCAGCATTTTCTAAGGAGCCATGTAATTTGAGCTGAGTCCTCAAGCGTAATTTCACATTCTTCTGCTTGTGAGGCTGCTCCATGTATGCAGATCTTCCACAATTGCCTCTTATAGACTATGAAGGAGGGAGAGAAGTAAAAGACCAGAAGAAACAGCCGGATCAGCCCTACCATTGGACAAAGTGAGGTATGACAAAAGCAGCTATGGGGATTGCTCTCTACTTGCTGCCTTATGCTTGAGTTCAAGTGCGGGCTTAGACCACCACATAAGCTGTTGCTCTCTGCATCACATATCCACCATGGGAATCTGTCAGGCTCCAGCCTCTGATTTACTCAGCATTCCTCCCTGGCCTCCATCTGGAAACCAGCATTTTTTAAATCAAAAGTGAGCAGCCTCTTCTGCCAGACAGGTTGCAAGGATCACTGAATTAGTATGTGATGCACACTGAACATTTTTTAAAAAGAGAGTACTATGCAATAAAAAGCACAGTCAGCATGGTCCAAAGGTAGGGCTCCTATCCATCTTTGGTACAGATAAGGGCAAATCTTGCACAGAATCCTTGTTGAAGAGTAAGACAGGTGGCAGTCAGGATAGAAAATGTGAAACTCCTGTGGGATACCTGAATGTGAAAACAGCGGTGGGGTGGGGTGGGGTGGGGGGTACACACCGGGTGGCTGGTTTGCAAAAGTCTGAAGAACTGCATTCACTGAGAAACTGACACACAAAGAAAGGGGGGTGCTTCCAAACAGCGGTTCTATTGTGCACTCACCCTGCTTCAAAGGTGGAGTTGTATAAGACATCTTCCATGCGTCGCCCTCCTGAGTTTTCCCACTGCTTTTTTCCACAGCTAAGCCTTTTTGTCTTGTGGCAAAAAACCCTTGAAGAAGAAAAGATGATACAATGCCATTCGATTGCTAGTGCTAGGAGTCTTTCTGGAAGCATGCAAGTAAACATTTGATTTCAGAAACTTTGTTCCCATTTATATCTCACATGTGTGCGTGCATGTGGGTGTGTGCACACCCACACAGACATACACAAACACACCCACCCTGGCTCTTCTGATCATCATTCATCACAGGCATACAATTCTGTCTGGAAAGATCCTGTGCCTTCAAAAAAGAAGGAGGAGACATGAAAACAAGCATTATCTTCATAAAATTCATTAACTTTTTCTCTCTATTATATGACTCTTTAACTGCATTTTTATGATTATCACAGTGTGCACATGTTAATGGACTGTTTACTGCTTTTTTCTATAAAACAAATTCTTTTGATCACATAAAAGCTGGCAAAATTCTAGCCATCTGAAAAAAGTTGTGGCTTGTACCTTTGGATCATTAACTTTTTCTAGATCCAGGTAACATTTAACTATAGATAAACACAGATAGATATAGAAACACAGAAATAGAGTGAGTCAGAAGGGGGCTCCCGGGCCATCTAGTTTGACCCCCGGCTCCAGCCAGCTCCACTCACAACATGCCCACCATGTGCATGTCCAGCCTATCGTTGAACACCCTCACCGAGGTGGCCTCTACCACCTCCCATGGAAGCCCATTCCATACCCTCAGGGTCCTAACTGCCAGGAAGTGCTTCCTGGCATCTAAATGGTACCTTGGTTCCCTGAGATTTGCTCTGTTGGAGCATGTCCTGCCCTCCTCTGCAGGGGAGAACAGGTCTTTACCCACCTCTGTATGATACCCCCTCACATACCTGTATGTTGCCAACAGATCCCCTCTGAGTCTCCTCCAGGCTGAAGAGACCCAGTTCCCTCAGTCTCGCCTCATATGGCATCCCCTGCAAACCAGCCACCAACTTTGTGGCCCTACACTGCACTGACTCTAACTTAGCTATATCCTTCCTGTAATGAGGAGCCCAAAACTGAACACAATACTCCAGTTGCGGGCACGCCAGAGTCGTATAGAGTGGTAGTAATACCTCTCTTGATCTAAAAGCCACACTTCTGGCTATGCAACCAAGGGTGGCGTTCGCCCTCTTGACCACTGCATCACACTGCCAACTCATGTTTAGCCTGCAGTCAACCAGTACCCCGAGGTCCCTTTCACAAGGGCTGCTCTCCAGCCACTTGTCATCTAACCTGTACTTATGACACCTATTCCTATGCCCCAAGTGCAAGACCTTGCACTTACCCACATTGAACGCCATCCTGTTGTCTCCTGCCCACTTCCATAGTCTGTCCAGATCCTTTTAGATCTGGAGTACAGGCTCCTCAGTTGTGGCCGCTGCCCCAGTTTTAGTGTTGTCTGCGAATTTGATCAGCAGACTGTTCACCCCTTCTTCCATGTCATTGATGAAAAGATTAAACAGGATTGGCCCCAGGACAGAGCCCTGGGGGACCCCGCTTGTCACTGGCCGCCATCCTGATGATTCCCCACTAATGGTTACCCTCTGCTTTCGGTCAGTCACCCATGCCCTAATCCACCGGACAGTACTCTGGTGTATCCCAAAACTCCTCAGTTTCTCAACCAGGATATCATGGGGCACTTTGTCAAAGGCCTTGCTGAAATCCAGGTAAACCACATCACCTGCATCCCCTCCGTCTAGCCACCTTGAAACCTTGTCATAGAATTCCACAAGGTTTGTCTGGCAGGACCTGTTTCTGCGGAAGCCGTGTTGTGTGGCTGCCAGTCTTCCTTCCCTATCTAGCATCACTAGATCTCTTGCTATTATGAGCCTTTCCATTGTTTTTCCTACAATGGACGTAAGCCTAACTGGTCTGTAATTCCCCATGTCCCTTCTACTACCCTGTTTGAAAATTGGGACCATTGACGCCACCGTCCAGTCCTCCGGAACTTCACCCGTTCTCCATGAGGCCTCAAAAATGGAGGCCAGTGGGCGTGAGAGAACCCCTGCCAACTCTCTAAGTATTCTCGGGTGTAACCCGTCAGGGCCTGGAGCCTTTGTAATGTCCAATGCCCTGAGGAGCCCCTCAACTTCTAGGGGGTGACTCTAATCTGTGCCCCTAAGTCCCCGGCCTCATCTAATTTCCTATGTGGATCTCCCCCATCCTACTTTGGGGAGAACACAGAGGCAAAATAGTCATTCAGCATCTGTGCCTGTTCCCTCATACCAGTCACTGGATCTCCTTCCTCCTTATTTAGTGGTCCCACCACTTGTCTCCCCTTCCTCTTCCTATTTACATACTGAAAGAAGCCCTTTTTGTTGCTCTTGATATTCTTGGCAAGTCTCAGCTCGTAATCAGCCTTAGCCTTGTGAAGAATCCTTTTGCAACAGGCCTCCTCCTCCCGGTATACCCTTTTGTCTATTTGCCCCAGTACCCATTTCCTACGGAGGTTCCTCTTTGGTCTAATCCCTCTAACCACCTCCTTTCGCATCCATGGCGGCACTCTCCTCCGCCTCCCCACCTTACTGACTAGAGGTATTATACATGCTTGCACCTCCATATCCTCTCTTTTGTGCGCCATCCACCCCTCCTCAACTCCCTTGCCTTCCAGTAACCTATCCCAGGAGACTTTCCCCAGTCTGGCCTTCAGTTGGCCAAAGTTGGCCCTCTTGAAGTCCCAGCTTCTAGTGCTCGACCTGCTACACATCCCCATTCCCCTGATCTCAAAGCGAAGGATGGAGTGATCACTCGCATCCAGAGCTCACCTAATATGTACTTCATCTATCAGCTCCTCCCTGTTGGTCAAGACCAAGTCAAGGATGTGTGTCCCCCCCCCCCCCAGTCGCCTCTCAGACCCTCTGTGTGAAGAACCCTTCCTCTATAGTTTCTAGGAAGCGACGTGACCTGGCTGTCACCGCTGAGTGAGTCTCCCAACTAATAGGCAAGGGATGCAGCCAACAGTTGAGTGCGGCCTTATAAGCCCCTCAGGCCAGTGGCCCTGTCCCTATGCTTCTTCCTGGCCCCTCTGGCCCTGCCTCCCTTCCTCTCCACTGCCCCTGTCCCTCTGCTCCTCTGCCCAGCTCCTCCCTTGCCTTCGCCGGTCCCCTGGCCACTCAGCACTCTCTCCCAGCCTCTGCCTCTGCCGCTCCACTGCTCTGCCAAGAGGCAAGAGCCAAAAGCTATGTAAAATTACCGAAAGGCAAAAATTTGCTTCTCCTCACAAGTATGGATTGCTTCCATTATTTACAGTAACTGTAGGACTTGGATTTGGTGCTGTAGTATTTTTCAGTAATGTTGGTAGAAAGGCTTTGTAGTGCTCAGAATACCAGATTCTTAAGGTACCATCCTAGGCATATTACAAAAGAGAAAAGACTGAATTGGCTGAGGAATGCTGAGGGTTGCAGGCCTTTTCTCTCCAAACAACTCTGGGATTGTGACCTTACTTTTCATTTTATTCCAAGGTTGACATTACAACAGGATCACAATAACTAGAAATAAATCAGGCCTTCCCCATTCTTAAAGTACAGAAATCTCAATGGGTTGTGCAAAGGAAGCTAGGAAAGACAAAACAACCTATTAAATAAAGGTTAATTATGCTAAACAGAATGCCAAACTCACCCGAGAAGACAAGCAATGCTAGGGAAAGTTGAAAGCAGAAGAACAGCAAATAAGAGATGGATTGATTCTAAGAAACCACAGCCTTGAGTTTACAAGACCTGAATGGGGCTGTGAAGGACAGAGCAGTTTAGATGGCATTCATTTCTGGGGTTGGTCAAAGTCAGGTATGATTTGATGGCACATGATAACAACATCATGCTGATCTCTGCATTCATTTTCCTACTGTTCACTTAATTCAGGCACAGTCAAGAATGACTATCTGGACAGTTGGATGATGGTGGCAGCCTAAGAGAGGTCAACCTGCCTTAATAGTTCTTGTTTACATTGGACCAATCTATGACCTCATTCAAACCATTAACAGCAATCTTGATGGAAAATTCAGTTTCATAACACGGAAAAGTACTGGCATTACAAGTTTACTTTGGCATCAACTCTCCATTTAACAGGATTTTACAAATACATGAAAGTTCTGGTATACAGAACACTAATCATGTAATCAATAATTTTCTCTGTATAATCAGCAGGTAACTAGATGCCAAAGTATCTATGGTATCTGTATTGGAAATAGTAATAGAAAACTGTGTTTCTGCAAGTGCAACTTTTGGTTCAATGCAACATCATGTTAATAGAGGTCTGCAAGTGCAAAGCATTTTCTCCCTCTCCCACTTTTTTCACTGCCTAATGTGTTTTGGAGTGTTTGCAGCCCTCTGGAGCTGATATTATTTATTAGATTTATATCCCACCTTTTTCTCTTTTGAAGAACTCAAGGCAGCTTACATCGTTTGCCCCCTTCCGCTCTCAATCTTATCCTGACAGCAAACAACCCTGTGAATTAGGCTGAGCAGAGTCTGTGATTGGCCCAAAGTCACCCAGTTGGCTCCAAGGCCAAGCAGGGACTAGAATTGCCCCCTTTTGTTCCACAGTTGCATCAGCAGAGCTAGGTAGGTACTTTGTTGTCTTGTCCTGACAAGCTTTACCGGACAATATTTTCTCTTTGCTACAAAACCATTAAATGCACTGCAGCCTTGTTGTCTTTTGTATCTAGTCATCCTATGAATGCAGCAACTGCTTTGCTGGGGTACAACAACAGTTTGTGAAGGCCAGCCCCTTGTCTGTTGGCAGAAGCCTCAGCAATTTGATTCATAAACCAGGCCTAACCCTCTTGACTTCCAGCACAACTGTGAATCACAACATCTGATCCTCAGAGAGGTATGTGGTATCTGAAAATAGAAAGAGACAGGTAGCAGTTTTCCATATAACCATTGTGTCTTTTTATACAGTCATTTAGGTGCATATTAGACAGCAAGAAAGTCCCATTGCTGGTCAGGGAGTGCTGGGTGTTGGATGTTACAGTCACCATATATTGGAGATGACTTGACAGCACAGGACAGCAATAAAACATGCACAGGGTTGTGCCTTTATTTTAGTAATCATTAGATATTTGGGTAATGTGCAGCTTATGGCTGCATGTGGGCCCCAGAACCCTGTGGTGTACCTACCACATTTCCCCATTTTTAACTAAAAAAGCATCCAGCGCAGCTATGGAAGACCAAAGGGGTTAAATGTTGCTTGTAAACAAGCTATATTAAACTACAGTAGTATTCTATAGTGCTATAAAGTGGGTTGCTGTCAAATTTCAGCAGCAAGCTGCTAATTTTGCTGCTGAAATTGGAGTGGGTGGACTGTGAACTGTGCAGTCTGCAGCCTGTAACGGGGAAAGATATAGGGGTTGAAAATGTTCTCCTGAGAGTGCCAACCCCTGCAGTACCTAATTCCCAAGCAGTAACATCACATATCTGATAGAAAGATTATGCTGGCTTTCTGCTTTCCAGATGGTTTAGACTACAACTCCCAGCATTCCTGACCAGAAGTTGCATTGGGTAAAACTGATGGGAACTGAAGTTCATCTGGAGGGCAGCAGATTCAAGGAGGTCGGATTATGCCGTCAAATTCTCAAATGAATCAGAGTCTGTGTATACTGAATTAATAAGCAGCAATATTTATAGCCACATCTGCCTTCTGCTCCACAGATTAGATGAATAACAAAAATGGGAGGGAGGAAATCACAGGAATGACATATTTGGAACTGGGGGAATTAAACTGCTTTCTGAGTAATCTGCTTTTTAAAAAGTGACCTTTGGACTGAGTACCAAAATGCTTGCTTTTCTGAGTCTTGACTGAGTAGACTGAGATCAGTTGTCCCCAGATTGGGTCCCTCCAGATGTGCTGGACTACAACTACCAACATCTCCAGTCAGCCAGGTGTTGTAGGGAATTGTCATAATGCAAAGGAACCACTGTGGGAAAGATTGAAATGTTACAGGTATGTTACTGAAACCTCATATGCAAATATTCTAGCATTTCAGTGCTTTGTGGGAAGATTACAGCATCCTTCACATGAGGTGTCTACCCACCCCCTTTGCAGGGCGTTTACTCTCTACCTTTCTAAAAGTTTCTATACGTTCCATTATGCATTACAAGGTGGGGCTATACTAGAGTGCAGAATTGCCAAAATATACAGGGCTTATAGTGAGCAATGTTACCACCTAGGAAAATACCAGATTTTCCGGTCTCCAAGAGCTTCTTTACATGAGTAATGTATTCTGCACTCATGATCCTCATTCACAGAAGGCTGTGGAACCTTTTCACCACGTCACCTTCTTCAAAGGACTTCTCTTTATTTTCCAGCCATTTCGTGGCTTTTAAGGAAAGCTGGCTATTTCTAAATGGTGCCATTTGTATGGATAACTCTGGAATGCTATATATTTTAAAAAAACAGAGTATCTTACCAAACCTGGATATAGAAGGGAAGAAAGAGATGGGAGAGGCAAGGAAGATTTATTTATTTATTTATTTATTTAGAACTTTTATATGCCATCACCATATGCCTTGGCATCTCGGGACGGCTTACAATGAGAATAATGCAGCCCCCACTGAACTTATTCCCCATCCATAGTTTCTCAGACTCAGCTTGCAATACTTGAGACTATGGTGTCCTGTGACTGCCACTTGGTCCACAGTTCAAGCTTCTACTCACCATTAATGCAAGTGAGAAAATAGAAGTCACTAATGAGAAAATGAATACATATAATGAGAAAGGTACTGTATAATACCTATTACTCACTATTTGATAAGCTGTTCCCAGTTATGTCTCTTGTACAAACGCAGTTGGTGAGTGCTCTGCAGGTACCAGCGAAGTGCCTAATCCTCTAAAATCTCTTTTGCACATTGGAACTTTTAGTAATACATGATTAAAACAGCTGCTCTCTTGATGAGAAAATTGTGGGATGTCCCTATAGAAAGACAGAGACAGTGTAAAATTCCAGAAATTCCAGAAAGGAATGAATTCTCACTAGTCTGAAATGGTGGACTCAACTGCATCAGAGATTTCAAGATCTTGTAGATACAGCAAACATAGCAAGGGATGACTCATTAAAGTCTGTGTGTGGGAGAACAAGACAGGTTTGAACCACCAGTTCCTTTATCTTTGAATCACAATTACTGTCATGTAAAAGAACTACAGTTCTCAAGGTTGCATAAGCTCAACCACAGTAGTGAAAAACAAACCAGTTTGTACAAAATTCATCATGCCTGTTTAATGAAGGATTTCAGCCTGTGCAGGCAGAGAATTTAACACAGTACAGAATTCCAATAATTTTCCATGGGGTTTTGCAGGTTGGCACACTAAGTGCTATCTTTTACAAGCTGGAGTACAGAAGGTACAGAATATAACAATAAATACAGTGTGTTGTTGACAAAGATTCTAAATTAACAAATGTGCTAAGGGATGAAATACAGAAAGGACAGTGATAAAAATGTAAAATGTCTAACACAAAAATGTTTGTCCTCCAGCAAGTGGAAAATACCTACACATAGTTCATACAAACATTTTAAAAAAAACCTTGACCCTTGGCAAATTAACATTTCATTTTCAAAATTCCTGTTTTTCTCCTGCTTGCAATAGACAAGGATGTCTATCCCTCCAGCAAATGGAAAAAGTAATGATTTAACTTGCTCTCTCCCTCCCATATCCATTTACTTAATAGCTGTTGTATCTTCCTTACTCTGTAGGCTGACTTTCAGAATGGATAAAATAGAAATTGCTTCTGCATGTTTGCTTATAAAACAACTAGCTGACTCTTGGGAGTGAAATGATCAAATGAAGCCGAACAGTAATTCACTCCAAGTGCCACTAGTTCTTCCAGTGGGTACCACATCTCAATGCTTTCATGGCACACTTACTTGTGAGACACAAGGAAAATAAGCTGAAGAACAAATATCTGAAATGTATTAGCCTTGAAAATTTAGAGAAAATTTGGAGAGAGATAGCCAGAGAGTAGCCACAAACCAGCTCATATTCCCACTCCTGTCTTGGCTTGACATGGCTGGTTGAGTGTGTTACGATCACTCTTTCCTTTCCGTCGGAAGAGAAAAATATTCCAGGCATGCAGAGAGTTCTTTTTAAAACTTTATTGCAATGAAGGGAATAGAAAGGAAGGTTTCCTTCCCATTTTTATGTTCACCTGAGCACATGTTCACACCCCCTTTCCCCTAATTGGCTAAAAGGGTACTGAGAGTTTACACTCTTTCCACCCGCCTACTCCGCGCTGCCCCAACACCGGCCCTTCTTCCCAATCCAGCCCTGCCCCTGGTGGGCTACAATAGGCTCAGGTGTTTTGTTCTGCCCAGCTTGTCAATAAACTATCAGGAAGTATTTGGCCCTCCTGCCTATGTGCCTGTTTCCCCATACCTTGTGCTATCTGATTTTGGCCCCTCCCCTCCTTTGGGCTAAGTAATTTTTTTGTTAGCCTTTTAAATCTCTTTACTCCCTTGTTTCAAATCATCCTTTCACACTTATCAAGTGTAAATGATATGAAAAAAGAATGGGATATTATTGACGGCATCTTAGGGTTTCCACAGAAGTTTCTATCATCACCCTCTCTAATAATGAACCCAGGTGCCGAGTGCCAACAGGACCAGAATCAAAATGGGGCCACTGAGAAACAAAGTAAGGTGTCCACATGCCTGGGGGTTCCCCAAGATTAATACGCTACAAAATAAAAGTACTGGCAGGGTATACAGCTCTGTTGCTTTCCTGCCTACTCTTCTATGTGAGGGGGGGACTTTGTAGAAGGAAGGGGCCAGTCCCTGTAGTTTGGATGAACCAGCCTGGTGGACCAAATTTGGTCTGCAGGTCAGTTTTGTACCTTGGCCCTAACAACTTTTAAGTATCCTGGAAGAATAAGTTAGGATCATGGGTAAGGGTGCCATGAGGTTAAACTACTGCTCTTCCCATGTTATACAAGGATGCTCTAGAAGGAAGTAAGAGAGAAAGAACAGTGTTCCTTCTTCCCTTTCTCCAGATTGCTATATAGCTCTAAAACGCTCAGGTGTGTGGTCTTCAACAATACAGGACCCCAAGAAGTTGTCTTTTATCAAGACAGATCCTATGTCCATCTAGCCCAGTTTTGTCCTCTCTGAATTGCAGTTATTCTAGTCTCCTTGGTGTCTTAAGACTTCCTTAAGTCTATGTTTCACAAGTAGGAGCATTCAAAATGTGTGACCTACCTGTGGTCTTTAACAGTGCAGACTCTTTTGAATTCTGGCCATCTTATTCTGCTGCAGATCAAGCTGGCTGAAAGCATGGACAGAGAGACGGGATCCATCCAAGTCCAACTCCAGGACATCTGAAAACACAGGGCTAGTGCTGCGTGAACACCCACCCATGCAGAAAGAAATTACTGCTACAGTAACTTAACAATCAAAGTCCATCACTTAATCTATGGTTAGCCTAGGGCACAATTAGTATTTCTGCAATTTGCAACTGTATAAATGTTTTGTTTTTTAAAGTACATAAGCATTGGGGATGGGGATGCAATCTAGGCCTCACATGGGGAGAAAAAGTGCAACTTTTCCCTCATTACCATCTTATTCAACTCTGGGGTGGGGCCTCTGCCTGCTTTTTGCTTTGGAAGAAAGGCTCTCATTCATACCAATGGAAGCTTTTATTCTCACACATATAGCAGGTGCAGGGACCACAATTCTAACTGGAACAGTGGTGCAGAACAAACTCTTAAAACTGCACTGCCTCCAGTTTCCACTTTCTGGAGTGTTTGCATTATGCCTTCCCTCTGCTTTTACAAACTAGTTTTGTCTTACATCTTCACATCATATCAGTTCACTAGACTGGGATACAACCTTGTGTTTAGCTTAGCCTTGAAATCATACAATGAGTAGCATTCCTTTGGCTTATTTAAAATGTACAAGAAGGAAAGGAACAAAAATGCTATTCATAGGGAATGCTTGTTTGATTTGCCTTGAGTTTTATTTCTATATATTGGAGAGTTTTGGAGTTGCAAATGTTTCCATGGCACACTTCTAATGTACTAATACAGGAAAATATATATGTATTCACAATGCAGTGCATAGAGGCAAAAGAAAATGAAATGAATTTGTAAAAATAATAAAATGATTTATTCTGCTGGGCATGACCAAGCCAAAAGGAAGAAAGACTTATTGTTTCATCTTTGCTGCCATCTTCTATGTGATTTAAATATGAAATGAACATATTATCAATAAGCAAATAAAGGAAATTTAGTTACTCTATAATTTCTCCACTGAGCTAAAATGTACTTTAAAATATTGACAAAATGGAATGAAAATTAAAGAGATTAAACTCTTCAACTTTCATTCTTTTGTATTATATAATGGTAGCATAAGCACAATGCTATGACAAGGCAACAAAACTAGTTAGTTCAAAATATCCCTTCCTAATAAATACTTTTATGTCATATTTGACAGGATCTGAGCTGCTCTGGTGACCAGAACCAGCAAAACTACCACTGGCGCTCTAGAGGAAGAGCTATATAAGACCAAGCTCTTCCTTCTATAGGTGGCTTCAGTAATGCAGGTCCTTTTGTAGCTGCAGTGGCTGCCCCTTGCCATGTTTCTGCAGCAACACAGGTTTGCAGCTGTGCCTCCATCCTGCCTAAATGGCCCCTGCTTTTCCATGGTGCTTTGCTGTTGTGCCTGTCTGTGTTGCCTCAGTAATGTAGGGCTTCCTGTGAGCTGTGCCTCAGTTCCTGCATTTTGCTGCACCCATGCTGCAGCTGGTTCCTGTTGTCTTGTGTATGTTGCTGTGGTGGGCATCCTGCCATGCTGTGTCTCCTTGCTGTTACTTTGATTGATTGAGTGATTTATATCCTGCCTTTTTTTCCTACAAAGGGCTCAAGGCAGCTTATATCTCCTCCTCCAGCTTATCCCCACAACAACAACCCTGTGAGGTAGGTTGGGCTGAGAGTCTGTGACTGGCCCAAAGTCACCCAGTTGGCTCCATGGCTGAGTGGGGACTAGAACCCAGATCGCCTGAGTCCCAGTCCCATGCTCTTAACCACTACGCCACACTGGCTCTGACTGGTTATCCTGTCCAAGGTGGCATCCCTTCCCTTGATCTTTCTTGTTCTCAACCCTTGGCTTGTTCCTGACCATGTCCTTGTTCTGTCTTCTGGTTCCTGAACTTGGCCTGTACTATGACTGATTTGGGCTTTCCATTAAATCCAGTACTGGCACTCTTTCCTGAAGTTTTCTTGCACTGGTCCTAGTGCCTCTGTTGCTCTTGCTTTGTCTCTGTTCACATGTCCCAGCTGCAGACCCTGACAATATTATTTAAAGTTACTAGGAAAAGCTAAGCACCTCCTGTTTAAAGATCAACTAAAACTGTGAGACCAGGGTCCACTTCAGAAGCTTTGGAATGGCATTTGGTTTGATATAGATTCAGCCTCATTCAGAATAAAAAAGTGTCATAGTATAGAGGCTTTTAGGCATAACTTAAGGGCCATTGATTTTGGTGGGCCTTCTCTGAAAAGCAATCTGCTTGGATGGTGAGGAGGAGGAAGCTAAGATGCCTGTCTACTCAACAGCTCCTGCGTGTCAAAAAAGGGGTTCTAATGATGAGAAAGAGGATATTGAACAGCTGTAGCTGGTAACAGTGGTGGTGGAAAGACATACTCACAGAAATAGCTGGCCCCTGGAGAGTGTGTAAGAGCACTCAAAAGCAGCTGCTGGTTGAAGGGGAAATGAGGGATCAAAACAAATTCCTGCAAGTGGTTCTAGTCCCTCTCAATCTTATCCTAACAACAATTCTGTGAGGTAGGTTAGGCTGAAAGTCAGTGACTGGCCCAAAGCCATCCAGTGAACTTTGTGGCCAAATGGGGACTAGGACCCAGTTATTCATAGTCTCTGTGCATCACACATATGGGCTTTGTACCACACAGAACCTATTAGTGGAGAACTTCTATAGCTAAGCATTCATTGTGGGCAGGAACCCCTCCCTTTCCTGTTCCCAGAAAGTGTGGGGGAAGGCTCCCTCCCATCCCCTCAGTTCCCCTACATCACAGCCAAATTGGGAATTGTTTCTCTTTTACTTAAGTATATAGGATTCTTTTGCATTTTTCTTGTGTTTCTCCATCTCTTTGCTCCTTGACGAACCCATTTTCTTCACTCTTTTCCTAAAATCTTACTTTTTTTAACCTGCTAAAAAAATCTTACAATATTTTTTTACCTGCTTTCCCACTCACCACTCCTCAAGCTCACTCCCAAGCTGCCCATAGCAATCTCTTTTTTCCACCTTTCCCATCTTCCACAATGGTGTCCTTTGCAGCTTTTTAGGAGCTCTGCAGCCTGTGAGAGCAAATGCCCTGCATCCAACGACCACTTCTTCTGCCTCCTTTGTCTGCCTCTTTTTATGACCAAGTCTGAACCTAACTAAAAACCTTAAGGGTTGCAATGATATTGAAGTAGCTAGGGCAACACTACTATAAGCAATACTCAAATTGCCTCTAAAATTAGTAAAAGCAATGTCATCTCATTCTTTGCAAGGTGGAACCTACAACAGAATGTTACAGTATATCCTGACTTCTTAGTGGAAGCATTCCTGTTCAGGGCTTCTACCAACCCATTGGCTATATGCTGCTTCATTTTCCCAAAGACTGTAAAGAGCTCACCTAAGGCACACCCCCCGCCCCCGGCCAATATATTGTGGCAAGTGAGCATGTTCAGTCTTCACTGGACAGTTTTGGAGTCGTTGGCTTCTTTGCTTACTGTTCTTTTAGGTTCTTGCATAACTTTTGTACTGACCCTTGTCTGCATCCTCTGATTAGAGAGCATCAGCTCTTGGGCTGTGTAGAAATTAAATAAATAACCCAGTGGGTATAAGTGTCACAGAATGTTCAGAATATTCTAACTTATGAGAGAAAATGATTAGTAACAGAATTTTGGAGAATGGCTCAGTATATAGCACAGAAGTTAAAGGTTATCTTGGCCATGGAAAGAAATATGCTTAGGATGCCAAAGCAAGATAAGTAGCATGGAGAGCTTTGAATGAAGAGAAGGGAAAGACCATGAGGCAGAGTGAAGGAAGGACAGTAACTGGAGAAGATGGGGTAGAGGATGAAGAGCCCCTGGCTAAAAGAGGTGCTCAATGAAGGCTGAGGGGTTAAAGCAAAGTGAGAGGATGTGAAAAAGCTTCACCCAAGTCTGGAAGATAGAAGTACGTTATTGTCAGGAAGACAATGGACAGGTAAAAGAATTTGAGGAAGGAGGCTATGATAGGGTGGAGAGCTGAAATGAAAAGCGAATTGCATCTAGACTTTAACCTACTTAGAATAAATCCACTGAAATCAATTTACTTGTCCCATTGATTTGAATGAGTCTGCTCTAACATGACTAAGACATTGATTTGAACCTGTCAACCAGATGCCTGCATGTTAATGCTATAAGAAAATTTAGATGGTACTATGTTTCATACAAGTAATACTGGGAAGGAACGTAATAAATTCTGTGGAATTTCAGTGAGGTGTTAAAATATGCCTAAACAAATGCTGTCTTCACACACACACACACACACACACACACACTCCTCCCAGAATTGCAAAATAGATGTGAGGAGGGGAGAGGAAAAATAAAAAATGAAACCAATCATCCTACTAAGGTTGTTTCTAGATCTACTGCATAGAAGACAGAGAAAAGAGCTTTCTTGTAGCATTGATAAGCAGTGCTTCTGATATGATGTTTCTTAAATTGGTGGACTTTTCTGAGGGCAGTTCCCTAGCAGGCAATGGTATTTTTATTCACGCAGGCCTTTGGATGATTGGTTGCTTGATTGCATGGGATGGTGTGGGTAATTTGTTTTTATACTGCCACTGTTTTTTTTAAAAAATTAAGGTCATATTTGTGATTATAAGTTGCCCTGAATGCCATTTTCTTCATAGAAAGGGGGTGTACACATCAAGTCAAATAGATAAATATTTTAAAAACTTTTCTGGAGAGTCGCTAACTCTACCAGCCATGGTGTAGTGTTGGAGTGGGAATCAGGAGAAAAAGGTTCTAGTCTCTGCTCAGCCCTGAAGCTCAATGGGTGACTTTGGATCAGACAATATCTGACCCTAACCTACCTCACAGGGTTGCTGTGATGATAAAGTGGAGAAGAGGAGGATCATGTAAGTCACCATGGGTTCCTCAAAGAAAAAAGGTGGAATAGAAATATAATTTTGGCTGCTCCAGCACACTGATATAAATAATAAATTAAATTGTGACTTAAATCGATAAATTGTGTAGAAATAATACATAGATGTAAGAGATACAAGTGGCAAAGTAATAGAATCTTCTCCAGGGAATTGGTCATTTGTTCGTTTTATGCATATAGGATATAGCCTGGATATGGCTAGATAGAATGAATCCAGATGGAAACAAATCTATGGAATTTTTGCAGGTACATTCGTGTCTATAAAATGTCTTTGTTCGTGAACACCCTTAGTTGAGCTTTTTAAATTAAGAAAGGAACATAAATGCAGGGCTTGCATGTCAGCAGAAAAAGTGCAGCGTGTGCGCGTGCCTGACTTGGCCTGATTACCCAGAGCGACAAGGTTGCAGCAGGCAACCGCCGCCGCCGCCGCCGCCGCCTCGAGTGTCTGCGGAAAACAGGCTGGCGCTTCCCCCGCGGTGTGCCGTGATAGCCTCCTGCCCTTTCCGCTGGGCGTGCCCCGAGGTTAGCCGCTGCCCGAAGCGCGCTCGCCCGCCCGTCCGCCCGTGCGCCATCCAGTAGAGACGAGAGAAGCCGCTGCTCAGCTTCGTCTCGCCGCTTTGCAGGCAGGCTTCTGCCATCGCCGCCGCCGCCGCCTCTTCTCCCCTCTATCTCTCTGCCTCCCCAGCAAGCTCTGGAAAAGGGAGAGCTTGGCGGCCAATGACATGTGGAGAGCTACCGAAAAGGGCGTTGCAGGGAATATGTATACACAGACATAGCCAGGAGGTGACAACCCAAACTCCTCCTTTTCTCGCAATGCTCAGGAGTGTGTTGTGGTGAACATGGCAGATGACGATTAAAACCCGGCTGGCGGCGGCGGCTGCTCGCAAGCGCCGCGCCACTTGTTGGCTGCCCTCCGGGTCCTTTTGTGGACTGCGTTGCGAGGGCGATGAGCAAAGGGTAGGGCCGTTCCAGAGGGCGCTGAGCCTTTGAAGCAAGCGATCGGGTTTCTCTTTTCTCCTTCCAACATTAAAGCATTATTTAGCGTGTGCGCGTGTGTAAGACGGGGGCAGCATCACGTAGGAGC